TAAGTAAACAAAAGAAAGTTACATAACACCACACAATCTAGGCTCTTTTTACAAGGCTGCAGGCCTGGCTGAAATACTCGGGCGTCAATGAAGGCTACTTGTCAGTATAGAGTAGCACCCAAAGAGTCCTTCGTGTAGGTGTAAACGTCCATTAATTGAAATGATGAAGTTTTGAACAATTTTGAAAACTGAAAATCTTGAAAATGACCCGTATGTGTGCACTGCATTTTTCAAAGCACCCAGCAGCAAGTGGTTAATGTTAGGCTGGAGACTCAAGCGTGAGCACAGATCCCTCAGAGACATATCAAACGCCACGTCCCAATAAACTGGCAACGGCTAAGAGTAATACAGACATCTACAGGAAGTGGTTCAAGTCATAAAGCCAGTTGACATTTAAAGGCACATATGTTGCTTCCACCCAGAGCACTGTCCTCATATGCAGGCGAACCAATCACTCCCCCACCAAAAAAAACCCTACAACGTGAATATTTATTTACATCTTGGAAGACTGGTTCCCATTGCTCCCTTGGCCCAATGGCATCTGATCGGCCAACTACCCTCCTGTCATAATCCACTGATATGTATTTGTCAAAGCCAGTCTTCAGGGCGATCTTGGTGTCTGACAGGCGGATGGCTGTCAGTTGCTCAGGTGGGGCGGGGCCTTCTTGAGCTGAAGAAAAGAAAGGGAACTTGCACATGTACAAAAAGCGCAAACAGTTGCATTCCTCAATGTTGCAAAATTAAAGTGAAGTAGATTGGAATTCTGAAGGAGGTAACATATGCAACACCGAACTGTTAACATCTTTTTGGAATGTCAGCATACTTTGGGTGTGTAAGTCAAGTGTAGGGAAATAGGATTGTGGAAGTTTCAGACCCGAAGATGGATAAAAAAATGAGATAACACTGCGCAGAATCATCAACAGGTTACTCGAAAGTAAACAAGAAAAATGACAGTCATGCACTGAAAGTCAACTTTATCACAAGCTTGCAACTTCCACATCTGACGAAAAGACTTGTGTTCGTACCGCTTTTTCCTACTAAAAATTTGCAAGAGTATCCTTTTATTGTGTAACTTGATTTCTACAGTATGTTGAATACATGCATGGACGCACACACACACACATGGAAGTGTGTATTTGCCTGCAACTGGGGACCCCCTATTGTTCCTCTTTTGTTTGTACTTTAACTTTTTTAGAAGACCACCGATATGTTTTGTACACAGTTGGCAATCGGGGACCCTCTNACTTTTTTAGAAGACCACCCATATGTTTTGTACACAGTTGTCAATGGGGAACCCTCTGTCAATCGGGGACCTTATTGTCCTCTATTGTTCAGGGTCCCCATTTGAATGCAAAAACAAACTCACACACACACAAATGCTCAGTTTCCCTGCTGGTACACATATTGAACAGCAAATATGCATGCATGAATTGGGATCAGTCCACTCTCCACTGCTTTTCACTTACAATTTGTATGAGGTGCTCCTAATGTGAATAGGCCTGTGTCCTGAGCAAAGATGTAAGCATTGGGTGCCATCTCAATGACAACGTCACCGGTAATCTCATCGAAGTTTCTAACAGTCCACCATCCACCTACAAACAAACCCATGAACATGATGATGATGTACAATATGATAAGGTGATAACAATTACTGAAAATGGGTCATTAGGGAGACATTCCCATAAGAACGTGCACAAAATTTTCCCAACTGTACTGTCCCATAATTCAATATTTCCTAATCCAATCTTAACCAAACTTTGCATGTTTTCATTTTAGACCCTAATCTATCATCTCTCAAAATTTGGGCAATAAAATTCGGCCTCCTCCTGGTACCTGGAGCATTAGGGAGACATGACCAATGTTTCCCTAAGATTCAACAATTTACAACAAAGTGTCTCCCAAATGACCTGTCTGTGCTTGTTTCATTAAAAATGATAATTCTAACTGAACATGTTAAACAAATCACAAGGATTTAAAATAAGCCTCAAAGAGACTATTTAAGTTCACAAAATTCCAACAAAATGACAAATGACGGACTAAATGATTGACCATGCAACAGAACAAAAAACAAAAACTAGTAACCACTTGCTCAAAGCTCAAAAAACAAGTTAAACATAACAAAAATCTAATGTTTACAAGTTTGATTATCTCACCATGGGCTTCTGCATCTGGTAATCTTTCATCTTTCTCTTCTTCTAACTTTCTCTTTTTCTTCTTGTGTTTAACACTGCAGAATATGGAACAATGACCCACCGTTAGTTTGGATCATGTTAGTCTTGAGTTTATAAGAAGAAACAGGTGGAAATTTTTACAGCACTATAGAGAAGTGAAATGAATACTTTACTTGCACAGTTATGCAAGCAAAATGCATAAGCGCCGGTTCAAATGACATCATGCTTTGGTACTCTGGCATGGGGAGATTGGAAACATCGCCCTACACAATGATTGGGAATGAATCGGTGTTGTAAACAAATAGCAGTTTTGGCCTGACTTGCACATTACACAGACTCCTTAGTATGGTTAAGTGACAGTAGCCTGTTCAGAGAGCCTGTCTAGTTTGCACCCAGACTTCAGTACATATGAATACAGTAGCCTGTTCAGAGAGCCTGTCTAGTTTGCACCCAGACTTCAGTACATATGAATTTTGTTCAGCTCTGCAAAAAATTCACGACAGTTACGGTTGTTTTGTGTCGCAGCTAATATGCAATGCTCTTGGCTAGTTCCCTGTCCAGTCAAATACTGCTTGTGGAGAATTGTTGAAAAAGTACATGTAGTGAGGGTTGTTCTCTGTGACGTGACACGAAACAACCGTCAGTTTTGTACAAGTCAGGCCAAAATTTGTTCAGAGTGGGGAAAATGCCAACTGAGGGCAACATTTTTCCTCTAAATGAAAAAAAGGCGAGTTTTCTGCAAAAGTAACCGGGGGGATAGTTAGCCCCGTAAGTAGTGAACATACACGGATGTCTGATAATATCCCCAGACATCCTGGATAAACTTGATTGAAAGGAATCATTATCAATTGGTACAGGGCCCAGTATCGGTGTTATGTCCCAACTACAGCATCAGTCCCAACTGTACATGTAGTTCGGACCGTCCCAACTACAGGTGGGGCCATCCCAACTACATGTACAGTGCTGTAAACTACAGCATGGTATTTTGTTTACATCAGCAACTCATGCTGGCAGAAATGAGTTTGTACTGAAGTGCCATATCTTAGATGAATTACATGTACATTTATGTTGGGTGTGAGCTGCATAAACTCGAGGAAGGTTGAGAAATTTGCTTCAGAGATTGGCCAACAATAGTAGGGCCAGCCCAACTGCAGCACTATAGGCCTACACGTACATGTAGTAGGGATACCCCCAGAACTGTGGGGTCCGACATCCACCCCACTAGGACCCCACAGTTCTGGGGGTATAGTTGGGGTATAACATTGGAATGGAAGCAAATTGGACATCTAACTCCACCAAGAAGGCAGTATGAAATTTGGTTGCACAAATAGCTATTATGAAGAGTAAGTTAGCACAATCAAAACAGCCAAAATGTGTTTATGGTAGTTTGTCCAACCACTGCCGATCTTCAGTACAATCTTGAGTCTTGCGCAAATTTCTTGGAGGCCTACCATGCCTACTCCCTCCTGAGTTGAATGGTCTTCATTCAAAGGCAAATCAACTCTGTTTGGCATGAAATAAATTTGAGCAAGATTCAACCATGGACAGTCACAGTGGAGGAAGGAAACTCCATGATTCAACCAACACTGTTCAAGGTTGCACTGCGCTGCACATGACGTGGCTATAAACGACATTTTTTTCCCGACGTTTGCAATGCATTATGGGTCTGGATGACAAACATGCAGTGCATTCTATGCACAACCCTACGGGAGAAGTGTACCTGCAAAACGTTAATCTGTTTCCATTTTATTTCACACTCCAATTCAAGCCATCCCCTTCTGACACAGTCACGACAGTGTTGCATTATTGATTTGGGACAAAGATATTCACAAAATTGGTAGAAAAGGAAAATTCAGAGAATACCTTCCAATAAAACCACTTTTTGTCATAGACCTTGCTTTGACTAAGATCATGAATATTAATGCATCTATAGTATTGTCCAATCAAAATCATGACTTCAGCTCATTTATCCCACATTGACCAGTTATGTTCATTTTCAGCCTGTAGAGTGACTGGTTCCCTTTAAAAAACTATTAAGGGTGATTTCTTCTTCTTACAAGTTACACTGTCTTACAAATATTTGAAAACTTATTTGAAAATGTTTCTTGTACAATCTGATAATACGCATGCACCTTTGAGTAGATGAGCAGATCAGTGAAAAAACATGGGTAGAAATCTGTAAATTGATCTCTGACTGGTTCACTTCCCCTCTGATGTCGGCATGGTAGGTTTGTCACGGCCGGTTGTGCATACTGCATTGCTTGTCTGTCATCTCATGGAGAAAGGAAAACACATTTCTCCATGGTCATCCAAACCCATAAAGTTAATGCATTGCCGCATTGCGAACGTCGAAAAGGTGTATTCTGAGCATCAACTTTCGAGCACTTCACGAGTCCCATTTTGCGTTTTATGTACCTCTTATGACTAGAATCGCTTCCTTTGAGCCTCAACTTGCCTCCCTTCACAGCACTGTATTCAGCCATTGCCCACCTTCTCCTTACTAGTTCAATTAGTTGAGTAGTACTCAGGTACCAGGTCGAAGCGCCTTCATGCTGCTGAACTCAACAAAGTGTTTATGTAGTGCGCCCTCTTGAAGTCGTACGCATTTTGCATGCCTCTTGTGACCTTTCCCCCTAAAGTCAGGTGATCAAAGGAGCCTTATCAAAATCCTGTACTGTCCCCACAGTGCACACTTTAATTCGCTGCGCACGCCTCCTGTCACACCTGTTTGTATCATGCGTAGACTAGACGTGGACGTCCACAATATAATGTACAATACAGTGGTAGCGCCTATGTGTGCCATGTAAACATGGTGAAGACAGCTAGGCCTAGCAGGCGAAATGAAAATCTAACAATGGCAACCCTAGGACTTCAGTTTATTTGCGACTAAATAACATCTGGAGACCTTAGAAGGCTGTATGCCAACATCCGAAAAATACAAACGGAGGTCATCAAGGCGAGAGTTCCCGTTGTTCAACTTGTTGACCAAAAGGGTAAAAGTTTGTTCACCTTTAGATAAGCTACCGGTATGTAAGCAGATATCTAGATGAGGTCACAAATTCGTTCGTCCAGGTTGGAAGTCCAGCGAAACGGCACCTCTAAATTTTATATCTTAAAGCGTGTAAAAGTGTTTGTTTTCTATCAATGATTTCTGCCCTTTTTGTGCATCAAATTCTATATTTTAAAAAGCAGTTGTGCTGTATACTAAAAGAACTGAAAATCGTGTTAGTACCATTTATTATGTCTGTTTGCATCGAGTTTTGAGTGTAAAGTACATGTATGATGAAAATTATGTCTGATCAGATCCGCTTACACTATGTCAGTATGTCAACAACTGTGTGCGGCCATCTTTGTTTGTTGTCGTGTAGCATGGTCTCATCTAAGCCTAATAATATCTCGCGAGACTCAACCGGGGAATGATGATGTCATCATCTTGTAGAGCTAAAATACTCTTTCATTTAATGTATAACTCAAGGAATTTGATTAAAGCACCGTCAAGCCTTGTTTTGGTTTGTGAAAACTACAAAAAGGTAACAAAAAATGTGCATTTTTCTGTTGAAAATACCCCAAAACACGTATAAGGAGATGATAAAACATATATAAAATGGTGTTTATTTGGAAGCTTAGAATTTCAGGAAGAAAAGGAAGTTGATTTTTGTCAAAAATCAATATCAAACTGGTGCCGGACAGCCCTTTTGTATTCGGGTGCTGTTGCGCAACTGTGCACATACATTTATGGTGTATGCATGTGCATCAGATTGATGGATGGTGCACAGGGAGCAAGATGCAAATAACAAGTGCATAAACGACGCATGTTTCAATGAAATGTTATCAAAAGACCCTGTCAAACACGAACAGACTTAAAGTAACTTATGACACCCAACAGACTTGGTCCCCTACAGTATTTTTATAGCTATTTATTGATGACAAAATATCATATTAAAACTATGCTTCAGTGATCTTTCACACATCACTAAAAGTTTCAAGCCCAGCTCAACTGTCCTGTTACTGTATACATGTATCCTGTGTTTATTATCGATAAAGTTCTCCATAATAAAAGATTGTTTACTTTACACTTCCTCTATGACTTAACTACAGATCTTTGTCCAACTCTGGCATGTCTGGAAGTGGGACCGATGAGGAACAAGACTCCATGTGGTTCAAATGCCTTGATGAAAATCAAACTTGTGTCCACCCCTAAAAAGTGATGGACTGATTACATCTAATTTTAATAACAAAACAAATTCATAACTTCACCATACTTACAGCTATTCAGCAAAATTTTATACCGTTCAATTTCTTTTGAAATTCTCTTTCCAATGGTACTACATGTAAATTTGTGGGGGTCAAACAAAAAAACCTGAAAAGTGCCAGACTCCCAAGTCCAGGTCTATATTCACCATACGTGGACATGTAGCCTTGTAGTTGTAGTATCTAGTAATATGGTAGGACATGTACATGTACGTCAGGACTGTTGCTACAGTACGTGTATTATGTAATTATGTATTATTACTGTGTGTTTGTTTCATTTTTTAATTGTGGAGTTCAAGACTGTAAGTCTGACATGACTGAGAGGTGAGATTCTCAAATGTAAAAACTTTCACAGACTGCCAATTTGTCTTTGAGGTGTTTGAATATACATGTACATGTAATCCGTTCATCATGTTTATCATGTACATGGATTTTCCCTATGTACAATTGTCTGCATTATTCCAACTGATTTTGTATGTGGTTTGTTCATCAACAATCTGCCGGTCGTTACGACCGAATAGTTGGGTATTCGATCAAATTGAAGGTTGAACATTCAAACAGTGAATTATTTGATTTGACTCAGCCCTAAAAGAATTAAAATCTGACACAGTAAATTTACAGCTGAGATAAATGCTGAAATTTCAACTAACAAAATGCACTTTAATTACCAGTCAGGGATGATGCATATATTTTTGCAAGCAGAACACTGGCAGCACTGGCAAAATGGAATACAGTGTTTAAACAAAAAGTTGTATTCAGTTTGAGAACTCAGTTTAAAAAACAATGAAAGCTGATATTTACTGCAGATTTCCAGTGAATTATAGTTGGAATTTTCTTCCCGTAGATGATTAAATTTAAAAGCAGAGGACGGTATTTTTTGTTATTTTTTGAGTATAATTATGTTTACAAATCCAAAATGGGTGTTGTGATGTACATATTGTATTATTGCATAATTTGCAATCAAGATTCTGCTCAAACATCTGTGTTGTAATCAGCTTAAACAGTTGAACAAACTTCAATATTATCTGAACCTGTATTATTTTAGTCCAGTAACCTTGAAACAGTTGAACTGATACGAGTGTATAATGTTTCTGTACTTTCAACAGAGATCACTGATAGCCACATTGCGTCTGTAAACTCAAGCAACTCTTGACCAATCGCCGACCATGTCACGTAAATTATAGCAGTGTGTGTCTTGCCATCCAATCAGACACGCCATGTTCTTTGTGGTGTTTGTTGCGGTCCTCTTTGGGGCATTCTGCATGCTGCTCATGCAAGTGTTCCTGGTGTTCCTGTATTACAAGAACCAACAGGTGCAGCCCGTTCCACAGCGGGCCCAGTATGAGAAAGCGAAGATGCCCGAGGTAAAGTCAGTTAATCCAAGGGTAGAAAAAATTTACAAGTTAACCAAAAAGTGAAGGTACGTGTACAGTTGTAAGCCGAAACCCCAGTTCCTTCAAAATGAATCTTTGCCCAGAAGGAAGTGTGAAAAGCCGTTTTCAAATTGAATGATTAAACTGGGCTAATTTGTAGCTTTGGGAGGATTTTGCCGGATTAAGACAGGTAGAACCCAGCCACTGTAATTGGTATTTATTGAGTGTAAATTTGTACATGTATGATACACTTAAATTATAAGTATTACATGTATGTGCTTCTTGCACAATGGTGGACTTTTTAGGATTTACATGTACTGTACATGTACACCTGTACAAAGTTTTTACCCGGCATAGCAATGATGCCTACGAAGTTAGGGCTGGTCGTACATGTAGGTTTGGAACTGTATATACATGAATGTAGTCCAGTGCTCCCGAGGTGGCAGGCTAAAATCTTTGTTGATTTGTTTTACTTTTGGGGGGGGGCTGATGGGATGAGGTTTTTTTATCTTTTTCTTTGTTTTTATTTTTGGTTTTCTTTTTGTAGTTTTTTCCCCATGTGATGTTTTTATTTGAAAACGAAAAGACAGTAGAAAAAGTACTTAGAGACCTTTTTTGAATGAGTTCATTTTTGCGTTACCTCTGACAGGATTTGGATGTCTCCTCCATGTTGCACAAGACAGAATCGTGCAATGCTCTCAATGTCTTGGTAGCCTTCCTCTTCCAGGAGCTCAAGGATGCAGCGTTTGTCCGTCGATGGGTCGTCAGGAAAATGAACGTGGAATTTGAGGAGCTACTCACCACTAAAACGGCTGGAAAAATCCTGGAGCAGATTAATGTAAGTCTGGAACTGATGTTTTGAAACACCTTTTTTTTTTGGCATTTCACTTTTAGTTCCGCCAGAACTATTTAAAGGCCGGTTCTTAACCACTTCCTGCCAGGTGGAGTTTGTACATCTGGGACGCTTTGCTGGGTGATTTTCCAGGATTTTCCATTGTCAAAATTCTTCAAAAATTCATATCTTAATTTACTGGACGCTTATACCCACACGAATGACTGTCTGGTGCTACACTGATCTGATAGGCAACCTCTATAGAAGCCCGAGTATTGCAGCCAGGCCTGCTGCCCCTTAAAGAGAGCCCCAATTTTGTGTGGTGTTGCATACATGTAATTTCCTTTTGTTCCCAAAAGTGGCCCAGTGCATTGCTTGAATGACAGTGGGGTCTTTACAGATGCGGCCAGATTAGTGTGCAGCAGTTGCAACGTACACACTGTAGGCCTACATGTACCTACATACATGTACATGTACATTATATGTACATGTATTTTGCCTCAACTCAGAGTTTGTACCTTTAAAGCAGAGCTGAATATACATGCAGTTTGTACTATATTTAGCATGATACTCAGGATGAATAATGAATCAGATCTGATACAAAATAATATTCCCAAACCATATGAGTTGGCTGATTTGCATATTGTACATGTGCATGCACTTTTACAAATAAAATTTTTTAATTGTACTTTGAATTATTTTATTTGCATTTACCTTTTTCTTATCTGAAATCCATTATTTCTTGTATTTTTGATCATCAGTGGTCCACATGGAACGTTTCACAGTGCAACAAGATAATGTACTTGTTCAAATTATTATTTTCCATTTACACACAAAACTCTATGAGCATGCTTAAATAATTCCTTCAGATACAATGTCAGCCATTGCAATTAAGAAAATTGAATAAGTGCCAGTCCTCACATCATACTTCACTGACCATTAAAAGAATCAGAAAGGAATGAAAAAAAACACCCCATTTCTGCAATAAAATCATGAGTGGAAGGTTTGGCATGTTTGGCCTACATTGTTCATGGACTATAAATGCCATGGTTATTAAAGGCAGTAACACCCTCTGCATGGATTCCATCCTGTTTCCATCCTGTCTGTTTGGATGCTTCATGCATACACCTACTCGTGCGGAGTGACCTTCCCTGCCGAGAATGAGATTTTAAATACCAATCAGTTCGAATAGATACTATTATTGGTGATTTCAAAGGGATGGAGCATAGCCCAATCCTTGGAGTGAAAACTGATTGATTCAGATTTAAAGAGAACAGAGAAACAGAGATAGATTAAATAAATTAAACTCAGTTTTGTTTTTTAAACCAAGGAAGAGGGATTACTTCTGATTTGCTTTCAATTAAAAAACATTGTGATTTCATTTAGCATGTTATGGTACATGTGCAGTTTAAAATCAATTGCCATAGTATCAAAGGCGATAGTTTATGATATATTTGATATCATATTTATTTTATAGTTTATGAAACTCTAGCACTTCAACAATAAGGTTTATATTTGGTATCTGTTGGTTTGACTGTTTGAGAATTGAACCTTGAATCAAATTGAGGTGTGACCATGAGGTAAACGTTCACGTGCCAAACAGTGCTGCTAGGATTATCAGTTGAGGAGTAATAGATGCAGCTCTATGGAATATTAACCCTAACAGTCCCAAATCCTCCAATTTCAATACGATTTTACATACACCCTTGGGGTTATAGAGAGAGATAATTGCCTCTGCGGCTACCAGTTCATATTGCATGCAGAAGACTGCACACATACTGTACACGATCGCCAGGGATTACAGGTTGAATAGCTACCAGGAGATTAATGACATACTTCTTTATCATACATGTAAGTTGGTAAAAGAAATAAACATTATTTGACTACTGTCCTGTCAGTAATGTAAGGTCCTCCTTGAAAAATGGTACCAAATGGCAATTGAAAAAATAGTGCTTTAAACACGAAATGGGGCAAGACAAATTGATGAAATTGAAGAACGTATGACTGCATCTCGACTCCCGAAAATAAAATTAGTCTCAAACGTGTTGTTTCAATGAAACACTGGTGCTACACGGCTATGCACTTCTTTCAAGGGAAAACATAAGGCCTCTGACTCTAAATTGCCAAAAATCATCATCGTGTAACGGCTTCAGGAACCTTCTACTACTGATCACTGATCCATGTTGTTGAATTAATATATCAAGAAGCAAATGCTTGTGTCTGTTGTAATGAGCCTGAATGCCATACACCTGTATGTAAGTTATTAATGACATTTTTCTGTCATTTTTATTGAAATCATAATGACTTTAGAGAAACGACTGAATCTCATTTACAAGTGAATGATTTACTACAAGTATTTATATAGGAATAATTTAAAATAGTGCGTGGGCCAAGTTGATAGTGGTGGGACATTTATGTACATGTACAGGTACTGTCTTGTACATGAATTACTTTTTCAGGAGTGTTATTTGATTTATGTGCTTGTTAAAATATTGATGATTTTGTAAGATGGAAGGATTTGAAACTTAGATGTACTTTTACACATGCAGCACTTGTAGTTTTACTGGTATCTTTTTGACAACAATTGAGAATATGTACAGTGTACATGTACATGTGGGTGTGTGTAACAGGTACAAGAAATAATTGAAAGTCAATAAAAATTTTTCATTCTGAATTCCTTTATAACATCTGTGCATTTGAATTTCACCTTCAACATGTACAAAATATACATAGACACACCTTTGCCAACAGCAGTAATATCTCAATTTCAGGCATTTAACTGAAATAGTGTACATGTACACAGTTAGGAAAAACTTGAATGATAGACTGAGCAAAGGTTGGTTCATATTTTTCCTTTGCCACTTCAATGACCGTGGAAAGGAAAAACGATCTCACAGCTCGGAGACTGTTTCCAGTCATTGCATATCTCCCTGGCTAGAAATTGTAAAGTAACGGTTGTGAGACGCGATCCTGTCGGCGGCAGGTGTTGTATCGGACAGGGATCGGTTCTGCCCCTCACAATAACCCCGACTGCCATTTCCTCCTGTCCTTTCTCTGGGTACCGACCAAAGAGGTCTAAATTTAGACATTTACTGTATTGCTGAGAATTGGTCCGGGATTGCAGAAAGGGCATGTGAAGGTAACATACATGGTTCAGTACAGAATCAATGCTTACAGAAAATGTCAACCACATGCTGAGGGGATGTTACATGTTATAATATTTGTACATGTACCAGTATACATGTACAGTACTGTAGTCTTTTGGTGTTTTATTCGTTCAGATGCCCAAGTAGAATTATTCATTTTACTTGAATATTATTGGCATACATGTGCATTTATGTGCAAGCCAGGTCTACAGTGTAGTGGGTTCCAGTTTCTCACTTACACTGTCAATGTACAATAAATAACTTTAAAGCATTCAAAACAGCTGTGAATTAGTAATTTTGATAATTGTTGCATTAATGATCAGTGCAGTTAACAGTGGGCACCATATATGTGTGCATAATTAGGATGACACATGTACATATACATGTACATGTATGTACAGCATGTACTGTACGTGAATGTATGATTCACTATAGTGTACAGGTTTATTCTGATATCTTGTATGTCTGGCAATTCACTGGTACATGTATGTACGTGCATAATTGTATGGTATATACTGCACATACAAGTACATGTAAGGCTTGCAGCTTTCCTGAAATAAACTTATTTTTATTTGCAATTTAAGACAAGGAAGGCCCTTAATTTTGGAGTTTTCCCTGCCCGACGTGTATTTTAACACTGTATGCTCAGTGTATGCCCCGAAGGCTTGTGAAAATCACAAAAATCAGTTGGGACTTGAACCCAACAACCTCCTGCTTTACTAGTGCAGACGTCTTAACCACTCGACCACCTCGCTTGCTGGTGTTGGCTCGCTGGTTTGAATCAGATGTACACTGAGTGGTTAAGACGTTTGCATCAACCTTGCTATAGTAACAATAGTAACAACTATTGCAAGGTTGATGCAGATGTCTTAACCACTCAAGTAGTCTGCACTGGTAAGCAGGAGGTCGTGGGTTCGAGTCCCACCCGAGTACGCTTGTGTTTTTTTCTCAAGCCTTCAGGAGCATACACTGAGCATACAGTGTTGAAAAACACGTTGTGTACAGCAAAATCCAAAATTAATTTACATCTCCCTAGCGCAAATCCATCCTTGAAAAAAAGGCCCTGTTTTTCATTTGAAGAACTTGTTTTTCTTGTCAACATGGTCAAGTTTCCGTGTCTGTCTTTTTTTTTTGGCCATTCACAGCTCATCACTTGAACATAGTGTAGAGAGCTCTTGATAAATGTGTCGTTTACTTACATGTAGCAGTTAACGTGTAGGTCTGCATTTGTGTCCTGCTCTGTGAAAATGAGTTACAAGTCGCCACGGCCACTTTTGAGTAACATGCCCATGGAAATCAACTGGAAACCATCAATATTTTTCACCCACACAGTGTCCATTTTCATCAGAATTTCAGAATGACAAACGTATACACAATACGCAACAAAACAAACTGCTGAACATGCTCTTTTTAATACAAAGTGTTCTATATAAACATTATAAATGGCCTCATGACACATTTTCACAGAGTGGCTCACATTTTAGGCAGATGGCTTCAAGAAAAATGCCTACATGTGGATACATGAAGATTTTTTTACTGACAGATTTATTAATGGAGGCTTTTTTTATTAGGGTATTATTTCTCTAAGGTTTTTACATAATTCTGCTTTTTCTTTTAGTTTCTTCTATTTACAAATGTGATAATTGGTCAGAGAGCCCCCTTGATGGAAACCATGATTCTTAAATGTCAGACGAGTACATGTCACATACATTGCACAGTGTTCTGCATGTTATGTCTAAAATGGTTTGTGTATCTAATGCCATTGTTCATTTGTTGTGTCAAGATATCCTGACAAATGAAGTAAACGAAATGAAACAGGAAAGATCAAGGAATTGCCACAGCGAATGAAGTATCCTTACAGCCGACAAAGATACAGGAATTGGTACACGCTAAGACTAAGGCAACCTGTGAATCTGTAACGTACATACAAATAAATGTACCCAAGAACAACAAATCCAAACCAAAACCACTACAGATATTGGCTGCAAGGGCTTGCACTTCCTGCCGGTAATCACTTGGATCAGTTGATTGAATTACGGTAGATGTCTGGCTGGAATGCTAACAACATTGCCAGTGTGAGATCCAACTTTCACCTACATCTGAGGCAATCATTGCTGTAGCTCTTTGTGCCGTGCAAACCTGGACACAAAATGTTAATGTTGATGTAGCTCCCACTTACAATGTATGTATGTACTGCACGTGTATGCAAACACGTACATGTCCACATGTACCATGTATACGTCTATGAACATTATGTATGCATTGTATAGTATGCATTTAAGAATAACTTTAAAAAATGCACTCCCAAGCTTTTATAGACACCAACTTGAAAGAACACATTTCTCAATGTCATTTTCATGTATTTTAAAACAGGTCTGAATTTCTGAAATAATTTTTGCACCGTGTACAGGTAGAGCTCTAGAAACAAACTTATTTAACTTTCAAGTACTGGTATTTTGACGTTCATACCACACACATGGAGTAGAACACATGTAATTGTGGTACAGACGGTGATAAATGGGTAATTGCACATCTTGGAAGTCAAAAGAGTCATTCTTTGTCACCTGGGCGGTACAAATTTTTTTGTAGTCTGGAACATGCCCAAACTTTATAATCCATAATGAAGTGTTTCTGTGGTTGGTCGGTTGGCTGAGGCTTGATCGGGTACCATTATATTTGCTTTTCCGTCAGAGAATGAATTACGATGTTGCTTAAGACTGAGGTACATGTACACATAGGGACATGCCATGCACTGTATGTTTATTCTTTTTGGTTTGAAATTATCAAGCTCGATGGATTTTTTTAAGTCCATATGCTTTTAAAATAGTCATAGTTTTTCAATCATAGATTTGTAGAATCCTAATGCTAATGCAGTCAGCCATTCAGCCTAAAATCATTTCCCCCATTTTTTGCCTCAACAGGTTCAGGATTATTGTCTGGGGACCTCCTTTCCAACCATCAAATCGGTCACAGTGATGCGATGTCTGCAAGATGACCCCAGAGAAGTACCAGATGTGAGCACTTGGATGCTTTGATTACTTTCCCCGATAAGCTAATTTGGTAACCGGAAGTTACAGGTACTAGTCATTACTGTACATGTACCACAGCGGTACATGCACCATGCTCCCATGCCGGAGGTGCACACCTGTCAGATACCTCATCAGCCAGCTGGGAGCTGTAATTCTCCAGCATGGACACTTGTCAAGTTCAAGGACATACATGTACATGCTAATCTCCACCCCAGTGTGTGGGTGGCTGTGCCCTAACTCTGTGAAACACCCTTTTTCATACAGTGCATGTCTGTAGTATGCGAGGCAAAGTTCATACACCAGAAGTGGCCTTATGGTTGAGAGTCCTGATGAACGGCTTCAGAAGTGGGTGCTGGAATGTGGTCATTAACATAATTAATGCACATGCCGGCAAAGTTTAAGTCGATATTTGTTGTTCATGCATACATGTACAGTGTGGTTTCAGGAGGCCGAATTTTAGAGGTATTGTTAGTTACACAGCTCATGTGTGTGCATAGGCAGACAAAGGTCAGAAGAGAGTTTAGTTTGTTTGGAAGAAGTAACTTGTATACTTAACATTACTCACTGGAAAGTGCCAGATGAGGAAGTTATCAATCGAAGGCATGAAGCTGCGTTTATGAGTTATGCACCTTGTGGTCAAGTGGCCTAGCATTGGAAATGTTACAAATTCATTTACCAAGAAAATACCCCTCATACATATAGTAAGCCCTATACTCTTTTACATTGTGTAGCTGTGTGGATACATACATAAAACATTTGTGGTCCAACCTAACCAAAGAAGTTCAATGTTGCTAGGACCGCTTTTGAGTGGATGGTCTACTTTGCATTTGGTGTTGAAATTTTATACAACACTGAAAGTGAAAAAGGAAAGATCACATCAAACTGACGAGGCCCTTCCCCATTTTCTCAATGTATTCACAGGAGATTGACATCGCGGCTGACCTGGAGTACAGTGGCGGGTTCCGAGTCTCTGTCGATGTCGACTTGGTCTTTGGGACAACGGCCTACGTGTCTCTGACTGTTACCAAACTCAAGGGAAGACTGAGGCTTCAGTTCAGCAGAAATCCTTACACACACTGGTCCATGTCATTCTATGAGGTCAGTTGATCTCTGACGATGCTGATTGTGAATGTAATGTGGAATCTGGAAGCACATGATGTCCATTCCAATGGAACTTGAGTATCAAAGATGTAGTATTTATGTACACGTTCATCAATATTCATCCGTCTCATTTGTGTCATCTGTTTTTTTAGTTTTACAAACCAGCCGTATTTGGGCTTGATGACTGGTCTGTCTCAGTGACCTTCTTTCACATTATCTAGGGACTCAAAATTTTTTTTATAGTTTGAGCATGTGGAAATTGTAAGAGATGCATGGAGACAACCAAATCCTGGTTGACTTATTCCCCGAGATTCCCTTTCCTTATCTTCTTTTTGTTGTTGCTCCTTATTTCCTGTGTATGAGGAAGTCAGTTTTTTGACTTTTGGTTTTGCAGGAGCCTGAAGTGGAGTTTGAAGTGGAGAGTCATTTTGAAGGCCGCTCAGTGCCAAAGCTTGGATCTATTATCGTCAGTCAGGTTGGACAATCTGAAAGTTTTTGAATGAGCTATGGACCAAAAAATCTTTTCTTTTCCCGAGCATATTTCTTTCAACTTTCGTTTTGGAAAGGTTGTTTCTTGTCGGTAATTCGATCGCTTGATGCTTCCGTATTTCCTTTTTTGCACATTCAGCTTCGTAAAACTTTGAAAAAGAAGCACACTTTGCCCAACTACAAGATGCGTTACCAACCATTCTTTGTCAAGCCTGCCCCTCCGCACAGCAACGCTGATGTGTATGTACATGATAGTAAGATCACTGCCGGCAAGTTGGCCGTGACGATAGTTGAGTGCAGTCGGCTTGCAGTTTCCTCTGCTCAAAAAGGACAGTCTGAAATATACTGCACGCTGTCCATCAGTGAGTATTGAGTATCAACTTGGAAGTTGAGTAATGGATTTGAGCATTACAATGCACTACTAGTAGCTGAATTTTGAGTGACATACATGTAGTCCAAAACGAGTTAGCAATCTTAGTGTTCTCGTCAAAGTGGAAACTAATTTTGAATGCTTCGTTAAACACTAAATTTTCAGAAGTTTACATTGAGGATTGCCACCAAAATTAACATCAAATTTCCCTGATGCTTGTTACGATAGGTGTGTTTTCAACTATCTCAGAAGGGGGACTAATGCCAAAAAAAGAGTTTTTTAACGCACACTACTTTTTAGAGATTTTGTGATGAAGGCATTGCATTCAGAACACGAGTAAGTAAGGACACCTCTTATAAATAATGTTTCATTTGAAAATAGTCTGCCCCTCCTACCTCCAACAGATCCAGAGCCATGGAACCAGGAAGATATTGTACGTCGCTTCCCAGGTGAGACGTTTGAGGTAGACCTACCCAAAGGTGGTCCCCGCGTGGGTCTGATGTTCAGCACTGGCTACATGTACCAGGAATTGGTGGTTGTCATTTCATCTATAAACAGAGATTCCCCAGCCGGTCAGACAGAATTGAAGAAGGTGAGTTGGTCTGACACCTTTGACTGAGGTGGCCTTATCACCTTTACTTCTCTGTGGCCAAGAGTGACCATAGGAATGTTTGATGGCACAGGTTTCTTATCATGACCTTTGGAGGAGTTACATTTAGGAATAGATTCAGAAGGTTGGTATTCATGAAAATCATTGCTAGTCAGTGTTTTGACAGTCCACTAAAAGTGCCGCAGAAATATTGCTACTTACTAAGATAAATTAATAATTGCAGTGAAATATTGTATCTTACTTCTGGTCCGAAAAAATTCCACTGCACTGTTTTCATGGGATCATAGGCAGGGAGTTAATACCAGGAACCATCATTTTGCTATCAAAACATTGAGAATGAACAATTGAAACCTCAAGTATTGAAGCTGACAATAATACTAACTTCCTGTGCACGGACCAGACGTCCTCTGAGCTTGGTTCCCACTGTCATAAAATATCCTGGAAATAGAAAGTTGTCCTTGATAGTCATGAAAATGTCATGGAAATTTGGAAGAAAAAAGTCTTGGAATCCTGTTGTCAGTGGAAAGAAGAGTCATGGAAAAGCTAGCAGAATCAATATGTAAATGTTATTTTTGACAGGCGGCTTTTCATGTGATAATGGAATAATTACAAATTAATAAGCTATCATTGTCAGTCTATAGCAGTGGCTTTGGACAGTCTGCCAGTTCATTATACCAAATACCTTTTCCATAGGCTGCTTTTCATGTGATAATGGAATAATATAAATTAATGAGCTGTCTTTGTCAGTCTATAGTAGTGGCTTGGGGCAGTCTTCCAGTTCATCATACCAAATACCTTTTCCATAGGCTGCTTTTCATGTGATAATGGAATAATATAAATTAATAGGCTGTCTTTGTCAGTGTACAGTAGTGGCTTTGGGCAGTCTTCAAGTTCATAATACCACATACCTTTTCCTAGCAAAATGGCATTAAATGTCATGAAAAAAAACTGTTACTCCTGGAAAGTCCTGAAAAAGTCAAGGAATTTGGTTTCAGATTTCTGTAGGAACCCCGTCTGAGGTGTGTGTACAGCCACTGAATACAGAACCTGTCTGCACATGCCAATAACAGACCCATAGCTAAATCTGAGGAGAAGCTATTCCTACGGGGCCATCGCACTCACGCGCACGTCTTAACTTGAACGCGCACCTGCACTTTAGTAAGTCGCAACACCTTACTGGTCGGAGAGAAATGTAACGCGCGCGCACTGCCTGCTTGCAAATAGGATGGCCCGCAGTGAGGACTTCTAATTTTTTTTGTCAGATTTGTCTGTATCAAAATGCTCAGAGGAGTCTTGCAGTTGTGAAACATGGTGGTTTCATTAAGATTGTTGTTTCCGGTTTGCTTGTTTTTTTCTCCTTGTAGGGTGATGTTTTACAGGCCGTGGATAACATTCGGGTAACTTCAGCTAAACATGCTGCCAAGCTCATTAAACAGACCAAAGATAGGTGTGTTTCTCTCACTTTCCTTCTCCCCACATCTCATAAAACCTTGCTTTCTGAGTATACCTCTCTGCCAGTTAGCCAGACGATATGTCAATACTCCAGGCAGACTCCCAGTTTTAGTTTAGGAGTGTGTTAGATCTCAGCATGGACGAACCCATTTACTCATCGTCAGGTGATTGCTTTCAATACTCTCTGCCATTCAATGGTGCACTGCAACTCACCCTCACAATTTGTGGGATACTACAAAACATGTCTAGGTGCTATTGTAGTGCATTTTGCAATGGCTGTGATAGAGCAATGGTGGCGTATCCAGCAACTTGATCCTCCCCCAGCCACACTGCTGGATACACCAATTTAAAACTGTCGCCAATTTGCCCATTTTTTTTCTTCACGAATTTATAGTACTAACATTTTGAAAATGGTACTCCCACCTTTTGGGGGAGATGAGGGTTCTGTTACAGATGAAAAATAATCTGCACCGTCATTTTTAGGAAAAAATCTTATTTCGTCCCCTGGACTCAAAACCTGGATACGCTTCTGAAAGCAAGGGATGACACTCTGTACATGTATATACATGTATTATGGGTGGTAGTATTGCCCCTGTGACTGAACTGTAGTATATCAGCCATTGCTCAGAGGCAGGTGAGAGTACGTCATTGACTCTAACAACTTATGTGATGTAAACCCTTCACATTTACCAAAATCAAGACTGTGGGATGACATGGTGAAAAAGAAGGTTAGACTGAATGATAAAAACATTCACAGTGGACAATGTGGCTTTTGCTTTTGAGAAATCATACGATTCCTGAGTGGAGGGCTGACATGTCTGTGAACAAACTGGTTCAGTTGCATTGACTATATATAAAGCATCATCCACTCAGTGTTGCATAAATTGCCCACTTATGGACTGGTCTCATGTGACTGATATTGAAAACAAAATGATGAAGGAATGATGTAAAGCAGTTGCTTGTAACATTTTTGTTACAGGTGCACACTGAGAGTACAGAGGCCAGCTCAGCCAGTACTAACTCAGACAGATGGTCAGACAGCTACAGATGGCATGGGTAGAAATGTGGAAATTATTGACGTACAGCTAGACGATAATGACTACGAAGACTTCATAAATGTGAAAATGATGCAGACACTTGGAGTGAGTGCTGATGAAGCAAACCTAATAGCCCAGACTACCAGTGCGCCTGGCAAACTGCAGGTCCCTGCCACAGACTCCCCGGTGCTCCGTCGACGCACCGGTAACCCGGACTCGACAGACGGTGACACTCCGGTGCGGAGGCTGTCTTCGAGTCTGGACTATTCCACCTTGAGGGAGCTCTCGGCAGCTGCAGATCGCGAGAACCGACTGCAGAACATCAAGAAGCTATTCAAGGAATCCATGCAGGCCAAGCCGGGCGACAGGAAGAAGAAGAAATCAGTAAAGAACCCCACGGTGGCCAGCTTGCAAGCTGGGGGTGACGTAGACAGTGTGGACATCGACCCGGATAGGGTCAGTCTATCCAGCTTGACGTCACTGGTGGACGAGTCCGATATGGCCGGTAGTCCTAACACGGCTTCAACAGTTACTGGATCTACGGCGTCCATTGCTGCAGGAGACCAGGCAACTGTCTCTGAACCAGCCAACTCTGAGTTCTCTGGGTATGATGATCTGTACGAGACTGCATTGGTTCCTGCATACGATGTGAGTTTGCTAATTTGCTTCAAGGAGATTTGTTTTGAACTGTGCCTCTCTCTGAGTGTAGATTTTGCTTGTCAGTCAGACAATGGATCCCTTTACAGGCATTGTTTAACAGCATCAAAGGGATGTTTCATGACCACCACTGAGAGGCATGCAACTTTTCCTTGAACAGCCATTGCAAAGTGGAAAACACTACAAAACACTGTGCAGTTTGAAATATCCTTGATGGTTGAATACTATTCTTATTTTCGTTTGAATTTGTACAAAGTAAGAGCATCTGTGCTAGGCTTTTGGGCAATGTAGGGGCAGTGTAGTAGCAGTGGTATGGAAGTCTCTGCTATATGTCTCTTCCTCAATGCCACCCTCCTGTGTAATCAAGCATGTCAAGAGTGCCGAAGTCTTGGACGGCTTAACTTCCACGTACCGCTCACTTCCACCAAATTCAGTGGAATGTTGGCGTCCGATTAGGAAATACATATTCTGGCTTGCACAGTGTTAAACTATGCTCTCTTTTGTGTCAGGAACCGGTTTGGGACGAAACTTTCACTTTTGAGGTGGATGAGTCAGACCGCTATCTCAACGTCTGCGTGTGGAATCGCATCCCCCTGTCACCGGGAAGTAAAGACATTTTGATTGGCTACACCTGCGTGCCACTCATGGACGTAGCCCTGCAGTGCCTGAATACAAAGGCCGGGGAATACTGCCTTGTTAGCAACTTACACCCTCCGGAACAGAGGGCCGGTGCCACGTAAGTGACTGGAATTAAAATGGAATGACAAGCCCTAGGCTTTTCCGCTGTACTTTTGTATCACCTAATTAAAAAGAAAATTCAAAATTCAGATCCAGACGAAACTGAAAGGCTGTAGTCCAGAGTGCTACTCTTGTGAACATTAGTGTACTCTTGAGTGTATGAATGACAGGAATATGACCCATGGGTGAGGGGGTGTTGTTTATATGATGGTGTATTAATCCTCCTTTGGTTTTACAGCACAAATACATGTATGCACAAGTGCCCACTGTCAGGCTCTTGCATGTGTTTTCTATATGGAACACAAACATGCACAAGTTCAGTGTGTACACAGTTGGTTGCCAGCACAAAGTGACCCAGGGTCTTTTGTGCAGTCCTCTTCACTGTATTTGGTTTACTGCACAATTATGGCCATGAAACGGCGAGGCACAGTTGATGGGCAGCACAAAAGTGCAATCTGATATTCCTGTGAGGGACAGTTGGTGCAGTGCAGTGCACAACACGACACAGCTGTGCTTCTTTGAGGTGTTTACCAGGTGACCCAAAGAGTGACTTCAGCATAGGCAGGTTAAAGAACATTTGACCTTAGAGGAAACAATTTGTTATTTGTCCCAACCCAGCCGTCTCCCAGGCCAGTCACATCTCTACCAGCACTCGGGGTTCGAGAGTCGTCTCTGTTACGGGGACATCACCCTCTTCTTCCAACACACACCATCTGGCGAGCAACGTCCTTCGAAGGAGGAGATCGACATGACCGAGACGGTGCTGAAGGAGCAGCAGATCAAGCACACCATGGTGGCTGAGGAGAGATGGAAGGCGCTGAATAAGGCCAAAGGTCACAAGCACACACGGCCAGACGAACTCAAGTAAGTACCTACTTGTAACTCCTTCAAAGCAGTACGGTTTGGTAAGTTTACATTAATATCTGCCTTAACTTGGTGACTGGGTCCTACGTAACGAGTGACCGATATTTTGTTTTAGTTCACATCAGAAAGAACTATTGAAGGTCTCTGTTGATTTTAATCGTGCAAGATTTTTTCAAAGGCCTGAACCTCAGTAGTGACTGTTTGACTTGCTGAACAGTTTTGTTAGGTTATGTCACACTGAAGGTGCTGCAGTGCCAGAAATTAAAGAGAATTTAGGCATTTTCACCGGGAGAAGTTAGGAAGAAAAAAGCTTGATAAGTGGTGTAGCAAGTCAGAATGTGTAATACCGTCAGAATATCTGATGTGTTATGTTTTGAATTATTTTCTGCTAATTCCTCTTGTAAGGAATTGTCATTAGGTTCTAGGACAAAGAACAACATATTAAATTCTAATTGCGTCAAATTGTTTTGTCTTAATCACAGTTTGTTTCCAGGACTGCAGCATAGGTTTGTGGGAACTCACTTCTCAGTGCCAACAAGATGTGACTTCTGCAACAAAAAGGTAGAAAGACCCGAAGAAAATAAAATTGGAACAGAGCTTGAGTAATCTCATCGAGTAAGCACTGATGGGCAGATGATTCATCTTAAAATATACAAGGGAAAGAAAAATGAAAAGAAGGGATAAGAAGGTTGTGATTTTTGCTTAGAAGCCCTTTCACAATGAGCAGAAAGTTGCCTTCAAGTTGAAGCGTTTTCCTATTTTAATCAAAATTTGGCAGTAAAACTTGTTTTTTCTAAGATTTTGCAGAGAATGCATTGGGAAATGTTTCAGTGTCTTTCATAAACCACAGCGCAAATTCCTTTACTGGAATGTTGTTCTGGCTCAAAGCCAGTCAGGAAGGATGTATCTTGTACATTTGAAGAGTCTTCATGTTTTGTATGATAGGTGTGGACTAAGTATGCCTTGAAATGCCAAGTGTGCCAGCTGATATGTCACAAGAAATGCTCTGAGAAGACACAAGCGCAGATGCCCTGTGACAGGTACTTTCTTGAATGAGTTTTCTTTTGGGCTGGTTTCTGTAATTGTTGTAAAACTGCTTCTGTCACGAGTTGCGTGTATTTGTCGTCACTTAGCTGTTTTTGCATGTAGGAATAAAGTAAGGAAACCAGATCTAAAGAGACACTGTTCTATGGACTCCGTGTACAAAATATCGGTATCGCAACAGGTGTTTTGCCTATAAAAAATCAGGTATGTGAAAGGTACTAATGCTATATGTCACTGGGCCATGTGAACTATTTACCATCTAAATGAAAAATGCTGTTGACAAATCTAGGAGAAGAGGCTTTTGCCAAAGGTGATGTCCAAAATGAACTCCCAGAGCTATGGCTGCATCTGTTGTTTCTCTTCTCCAATTTATTGCTGGCAAAGACCTAAACCTTGCGCTAGATACACAGCCTGACAGTGAGAGCAAAATCAGGAGGGTGCCTGATTCTTTCATTGATGTTTAAATTGGAAAGGAGTGGGAACCAGACCAGAAAATGAGGCCCTCCTCTTCTGCTTCCTGTGTATACCACATTGGTTTATGGCCTCAGGCCTTGTGAAGGCTGCTGGTGACCTCTGAACTCTCTGAATTCCCTTTGAACTCCTTTTTGACTCCCTCTGAATTCAGATTGGACAGGGATGCCTTCCCCAGTGACCCTGTGTGAAAACGTTTATAGACACACGCATGTGTGGATTAAATGAAGTCACATGACCAGGGCAGCAATTTACCCACAGTGCTTTGTAACATTTGTGTTTTCTTTACAGAATTGGTGAAAAAAATTAGCAGTTACCAACTCTCTTAGGGCGGTAGGCATAAGCAAATATGTAACATGTCTTACATGCATTATCTTACATCCACAATATCTTAAATTAACAAAAGTGTTCTGTATTTGTGCAATCAGAGTCCATGGTGAGTGTGTCCAGAACATGTACTAACAAGCATCCAAGAATACTAATTAAGTAATTAATGACTACCTGTGCCTATACTTTTTTTTGTTTCCTTCAGTATGTTATTCCCTTTTGTTTTTGCACATGCTGATTGGTTTTACCGCCAAGAGTAATTGATATCATTGTCTAATGATTATAGTACTACTTTTTAAATCCAGTTCCATGATTGTTGTGATCAAACAGAAAGACACACCTCTCAAAACCTATTTCAGAATGGTCGCCAGAAACGGTCAGGATAACTCAGCTGGACTTGAAGATAATGTCTTCTAGATTTTCAATTTCGCCCCTCACTACGGTTGGTCGTATGTACATTTTTCGCATGGCATGGCATCCAAGAATTTCTCTCCCATTCGCACACAAGTCTCTTTCAGGTATACAAGTGACCATTATCACTGACCGTAACTTTTGGTTGGGATCATCTCTGGAATGCCTTGGTGTCTAATATTAAATGACACATGGTTTTTCTCAGATGTGGACGGGTCTCAGTCGTCAATATTTCTGGGAATTGTTTCTTATTTTGAGATAAGATTTTGGTGCCATGCAGAGTCTCCTTTCAAGGACTCTGGAGGGGGCTGTTTGGCATTCAGGAGAAGCTCATGAGGTCAGTCAGCATCAGGCAGATCCTATATTGAGGGCAGCCTTGCATGCCTGATAGTGCATTGTGTATTTGGCCAATATCTACTGAACCAGCACAGAAATTGGGTCATTCTAAAAATGTGGGGTCCAAAAGTGTGACATTTTTGTGTCCCTGTTACACCTGATTTGTGCAATTTGACATGGAAATATCACTGAAATTGATTTCAAACAATATGTATCTTTATTTGTTTAGCAGGTACATGTAATTTGCATTAATTCATCATTCTTGGAAATTAGAGAATATGTTCGGAACTTACAATACCATATATCAGATGTGGCAAGTAGGGCCAATGATTTTCCGCAATCGCGGAAAACGGACGGAATTTGCAAAATCAACACTTTGAAACGGAAATTACTGCTTGAGACGGAACTTGCCAAATTTCCCACCAAGAATGGATTGAAAAGTAAAGAGAACTTTCCTCAAAGATTCATAAATAAAAACCTACCAAACTCTGTTGAAATGCTTGCTTTTAATGAACAAATTATGCTGGCAACATGCTAAATTACACCACTGTACCACATGATAGGGTCGTCCGTGCTGCGCCGGTACCGATACTTGCAAGCGCTGTCGGGTCCTTGAGCCTTAAGTGTGAAGGGGCGGCTGGCAGGTGCAGCAGCGCGTTACGGTACTCACATTCACCATTCACAGGTGCACCGTACTAGCATTGAAATCAAGGCGCAGACAAGTTCATTACATATGCTTATTGCACACGTGGGGAATTCAGTCTGTCAATCCACACAGATGCCTTTAGACAAGGCTAGTACCACACAGCTTAACGATGAAACCGCGGCACCAAAATGTAAGACTTATTGCATTTTTTTGAATTAAACGAAACTGAGTGAGCTTGGTGTACCATAGCTGAATGGGACCTCAGAAGTGTTTGATAAAGAGCTAAGTTTTCAGTCACAAACATGCATTTTAAGGCTCAGATTTAATGTTAACTTTCTGAATTTTGTCGGCACTACTGCCAAATAAAATGGCGGGTTGATGTCTAATGTTAACATATTGTGATCAACAACTGTTGCATGCAAGACCTATTCTATGACCTCACTGTACATGTACACTGTACACTGTATTTTTGATTTTATACGTAAGGAGTGACCCATGAATTGTCCGTTGATTAATCATAATTTTTTGACAATCGTTCCAGTGGCAAATCAGGGGGTAAGGGATGCTGTATTTATGGTGTGGATTTTTAAAAAAAATTATCACTACTGAAAATTATTTTTAAAAATTGGAAACATTACCGAGTATATCCAAACAGTATTTGTTTGTTTCTTTTTTATGAGGGGGGTGTGCTTGGGCAATGTTTCCATGCATAGTTTGAAACTTTCTCTCCTTTTTCATGCTTACTAGGGTATGAAATAGAATTTGAATTTCTGAAGCGGAATTTGACGAAACGGAAAATATCCGTTGTTGAAACGGAAAATCATTGGCTCTAGACAGGGATACAAAAAAATTGGCCCCTAATTTATAGAATGACCCAATCGTGTCGTGCACTGTGCATTCTTCGGTAATTTTTACAAGAGGGATAAGCCTCTCTTGGATGCATGGTTGCAGACAGTGCCCTCTTTATTAAACAGAAATTATCTCAGTATTTAAACAACACTGGAGCTACCGTACCTCATGTACGTGCATGCACTACCGCCACAAATTCTATTTGACTGAACGGAGGATATATACAGTGTATGACATGATTGTATTTTTTAGTGACAGAGTAGTTTAATGTGTGCTTTCCCCATTGTATCGGTTGTTGAAATCTGGTAGCCACTTTTTGATCGGCTAGTGGGTTTGACATTGTAACCTTTGAGGTCACATGGTAATTTATCATTGGCCGGTTTGTTGTATGGAGTTGTTTGAAAGTTGGTGGTTTCTTGCATTGTGATGGTTGAAGTTTTACGGCATTGTTGAAAAAAGATGACACGACCTATCTTAGGCAGTCTGGTTTTGGCATGTCAATTGCATCCCAGTTGTACATTAAGAAATGCACGGTTTATTGGTGAAAGGGTATGCACCAATCTCTCATTTTTCCTAACATCAGCCATTGCACAAGCTCACTGGATGGGTTTCTCAACAATTAAAATCTCTTATTTTGAGCAATGAGATCCTTTCTCCTAAAGGATGAAAACTAACACTTGCATTTCTGGAGAGACGTTCAGATAAGTACATTGTAGTTTTACAACATCAATTTCATCTTAGCTTTGTCAGTACTTTGATGTGCAGAAATTAAGTTGCCATTCCAACGAGATATGGCAACAGAAAGTACGTATAATATATTGCCACATTCGTCTTGTAAACAAGATGCGCATAATTTTTTTGGACATCAAAGACGGAACCTTCCTCGGCACATTGTTCAAACCAAAAAGGTGTCCATTGTTCCCCACAGAACTAAAGTGTGGCGGAAACCTGACCAGCCCTCCCCATCCAAGGATCAACAACTGAATGTCAAGCTAGCTCCCGACACCTCCGCCTCGCCTCAGACCACGCCCACAATGCAGCGTCGAGCCGGGGTGTCCCCCCAACCCTCCCCTGTCCCCTCCCCGACCCCCTCCCCCCACGAGTCCTCCGCATCCTCCAATGAGGATGAGACGGACGAGGTCAGCGTGGCTGTTCGCGGTCTGAACCGGCTGAAGCGAGACCTACGACAGCTGGCCCGTGCTGAAGGCAATAAGGTAGACGACACTGATGCTGTGTTCATGACTGCCGCAAGAGAGGTGAGGGAATCAGGAACTTGAGTCCCAGGGAGTCCGATTCAAGATTATAAGGGACCTTTTCATATCTCGGCTTCATTTCAAACTTCAAATTCATCCAGAGATCCACACACACAGTCAGTGTCATTTACTATTAGAAGCAATAACACCAAGAGCCTTACAAATTTCAGTTTTTGACTCCGTCTTTGACTTCATTCTGTTATTGTCATCCAGTTTTGAACAATTTGTGTTGGATACTGAATAAAACTATGTGTACTCCAAACATTGGCTTGAGGTGCAATGATCCAATGTAAGTTTCTGTGAGAGAAGCTTGAGATGCTATTAACATTTTGGGTTTCAACTCGATGCGCTGAATTCATGAAACACTGCTGTCTAAGCAAAGACGGAGAGTGAGTCCTGATTTCGAACATGCCCGGCGATTATCCATCGTGTAGTTCATCTGATGGCATATTTAACTTCTTTGATCCTTTCTGTTTGCCATTTTAACCTTTTCTGTCAGCTTGGTCGTGAGTTGTATACAGACCTTCCCTACAATGAAAGAAAGGAAAAGCTGGAAGCAATGGTAACTGCCTAATTTTTTTTACGAACAAGGACGTTCATATCTTTAGCTTATAACGGTTTATAACGGTTATATTTTTATTCAAACATTTGAGATGTATTGATGTATAAGCTTATGCTACCAAAGAGTAGAATCCTCTGTCGTGTATCAAGATGCCAGGCGTTGCTTGGTGAAGCCAAAGATTAAACATCATACTACCCCTTTTCTGGTAATAAGGATATTGAGCAAAATCAGGTTGTTGTGGATGACGATGTTACGCCCCAACTATAGCATCTCTCCCAACTATAGTTGGGGCAGTCCCAACTATAGTGCTGCAGTTGGGCTGGCCCAACTGTTGTTAACCAATCTCCACAGAAAATTTCTCAACCTTCTCCAAGTTTATGCACTTTACATCTGACATAATTCATCCAAAATGTGGCATTTCATCTATATATATCTGTGGGTTTTTTCTTTATAAGAATCATTCAATCAGATTCCTGCATCAGACTGATAACTTCCATTTTGGGTGGTACCTGCAGGTCAGCAAACTCCAGAAGGAGATTGATGCCGAAGTGGAGCGCCAGCTGCAGCTGACCCAAGAGATCCAGGCTGACCAGCACCGACCCCAGCAGCGATTGGGCAGCCAGCAGCAGCAGCAGAGACAGCAGCAGCATCGGAGACAGCGGCGACGGACGGACACCATGTCCCGCAGCGAGGAGCGCATGCAGATGCTGGCCACACTGATGCTGCACTACTGCGCTGGTATACAGCACTGCAACGAGATGTCGCAGTCGGTTGAGGAAGCTGACAGCCAAGTGAATGAAAACAGTAAGGTGGAACCTCAGCCCTAGCTTATTCACTTATCTACTTCCTTGCCAACAGGTGAATGTTGACCTTTCTGCATCATTGGTGCACCCAAGGGTGGGGTGAAGGGATCGGGGCACTTAAGCCTACCAAGAGGTTGTTAGAGATAAAGTAAACACTTACATCTTGAACTTTTAGCCCGGATATAACTCATACATCCAAGTCCCGTGTGGTGCAACCAGGGGGGGGGGTGATTGAGCATCATGGGATTTTTTTTGTGGGGGGGGGGAATTCTGGTCCAAGCCCCCTCATTGGTATGTTGTTTTTTATTCAGGCATGTAACTTTTCCTTGGATCAGCTGATTTCCTTGCCCTTCATTTCACACTCATGCCATCTAAAATTGAAAAACACTGTACAAAGTCTTGTGGAGATTGGAATTTCCTCATTTCTTATCAGAATCCAAGTTGCATGCCTGTTTAACCACTCACTGCCAGGGATTCCAGATCGGGACACGTATGCTTTATATGCGTATCGGAACTCGGACAAAGGGAACAGGGCCTTGTAACAAAAGACTGTACTCGGAACAAAAGACCAGGCTGCTGGGAATTACCAACATTTTTTCACTCTCAAAAGTGGAGATAATCCAGCCTTGTTTTGAAACAGTATACCAAGGTTCGGGGCATTTAGAGCGAGCGGATCACCACCGGGGACAAAAGTTCTCCACCACCGCAGCGATGAGCCACACAGCACCGCTGCTTGCTAATTTGGCCCCTATTGAAAAGAGGTCAGCAGCACACTGAGCCAGGTTCGTGAACAAAAGAAAGTTATATAACAACGCGCAATCTGGGCTCTTTTTACAAGGCTGCAGGCCTGGCTGAAATACTCAGGCGTCAATAGATATTTGTCCGTCAGACTAGAGGGGCCACCAGACAGTCCTTCACGTGTTTGTAAGTGTCCAGTAAATGAAGATAGGAATTTTTAAAGAATTTTGAAAACAGAACAAAGCGATAAATATCCCGGCCCAGCATCATTAACATTGATAACTGCCCCGGCAGGAAGTGGTTAACGACCTTGCCCTTTGAAATACCAAACTGGTTCACCATGTAGTAGTACATGTGTTAAGGAATTTCTGTAAATTGCTCATTATGCCGTTGGGATGCTTAGGGGTAAGTATTTTAAGTACAGGTATGCTAGATGTGATTAGTTATTCTCTGTCACATGATGTGTAGGCAGCATTAAGTTGGATGGGATAATAACTCTGGTTCACTACACGTACTAGAAGACGTGCTAGTATCAATTTAAGTAAAAATTCTATTATCTGTTCAGTAAATTCCTAACGAAACCACAAGGCAAAACTGCACAGGGTTACTGTAACGACATTGGAACCTGTGAAATTTAGAAAATATTGTCGCTTCACCAATCCAGCTGTCAAACCCTAACAAGTTCTTCAATGTTCATGTACAAGAAACGATGTGGAAAATGTTTTTGACTCCTCCCCCCACCCCCCCAAAAAAATTAACAAATGTGTAGATTACGATCATTGGTCAAGGTACGTGTAGCACTGTTGGTAAAAACTGGTACAGTGTTTATGGAGGTCATAGGTTTACGTAAACTCTTTTCAGTTTTCTTGCTTGACTCTTAAGATCGGTGAAATTACCTTTCCTGGTTTATTTCATGACAGACGTTGTAAAACAGATTTAAATATATTCCCAGAGGTCTGCAATGAACTACCTCCAACAGATGTGCAGCATTAACAGGTTCAGGTTCTCTTCTCCGTTTTGCTCATTACTGGATCATTCAATAGCCATTTCTGGCAGTTTCGCACTGAGGTATGAAAACGGTTAGCCTTCATACTTTTCGGGCCCTTCAAAATGGATGAGTTTAGGGAGAATTGGGGGGATTTGGGAAGGGCGGGATGACTTAGGAAGTGGAAGTGCTAACAATGTGAGTCCGTCATTGGCATTATGCACCCTAGAGGATTGTAGAGGACTGGGGAAGTTGGTGCCCAGGAAGTATGGATTAATGTCATTCAACATTAGTCAGATTAGCAGAAACAGTGCAAAACTCGGTAAGCCAAATTTGTTTCAGTTGAATTCAACTCTGCCGATGGCCAGCACTGCCTACTTAGCAGCCAAAATTTCCTTATCCTGCCCAACTGGTTAGGCGTTTTAGTTAAAAGACTCAGCAGCAGTCAAAAAGTGCTGTTAGCTTTGGCGAGCATAGCACAATTCACTCGCAGCACTGTTAATGGACAAACAAATTCATTTGCTGATGAAATAATACCTTGATGTTTCGAAAGGTTTAAATCCACAGCTGTAAAAATTTTTTCTCAGATTTATATCAGTATTATGATATGTAAATTAGAGAACAACTCCAGATAAACAAAACTTGAGTAATTAAGTGAGATGCAATAAATGATTTTTCCCCCCGTAATTGTAGTGTCATGCGTTACATTTGCAAAATGTCACAATTTTTTACTCATTAAAGACTATTTATTTGTAGATTTTACACTTGAAATAAAGTCAATTATATGTATCTCTATTTATGGGGTCATTTACTGTACATATTCATGGTGGTCACAGTTGTAAAAATTGGAAACTCAAAGCTACTCTACTTATCGTTACTTAAACCCCTAAAGGACTAGAAAAAATGCCCAATTTTCCTAATTTGGTCAGCCGCAGTATTAGTGATCAAGGCACGCTGGTCTACATGTGTGAGGCTGTGTATCTCATGACCACAACAAAACCCTGTGTTGGATAGTCTGGGAACTTACAGATGTGTGTATAATGAATGTACATGTAGGTGCATTAACAGCTTTGAAAGGATTGGGCTTGGAAGAGCTGAGATGGTCCAAAATGCCCTGCTCATTTGAGGTTTAATTTTGTCTTTAATTGCCCTGACTTGGAGATGAGCAGTTCAATTCTCAGTCTTATTGTAGCGGTTTAAACTCAGCGATCATTTTGATCAATTTGAATGGGTGTAGGACTGGCATTGAAGTCCAAAAAAAAATGTCATTTGGTTTATGTGTGTGTGTCTATTATAAGTCGTGAAGTTTTCCCTTTTATACATCAGGCCTGGTTATCAGTTTCTTATCAGTCAAAATCTCACCATGACAGAAACATTACTATAAATTCCAACCAATATAATTTCAGTTCTTGGAATGTCGGTACTGCAACTTGTAGTTTTGGTAGCTATGGTCAGACCAGTAATGTATAGCAGCTCGTCACGTTTAACATCATTCTCAAAAACTAAATACATTTAATTGTAAAGGAAGCATTTGTGCGCGGAGATACAGTTGTCTCTTGCATTAACACTGTGTCTTCAGTGCTAAAAACCTCTGTGTTCTGTGAAGACATAACAGTGTCAGTATTGAACCTGCCAAATGTAGGCATTGCGTGGTGTTAATTCGGTCATACAGTTTTGGCTGTGTTTGGTGCCAAGAATGGATATGTGTGTTTGTTACTGTATTGGTGTTTAGTTCTAACCAAAATACTTCTCTGTTTCAGTTGAGTAGGGCAGTAGAAGTCGGTACTCGTAGCCTTTAGATCTGTATAAAGTATGAAAATCAAATTTAAGCCCAAACTGCTACCTGTATGTATGTCAGTATTCAAGCCTAAAATGTAATTGAACTTTGTTTTTATTAAAAAAAAACACACAAGACTCAGAAAAAGATTCATATAAGGTATTTTGAATGGCTTTGTTCAAAGCCAAGGTGTAGAAGATGGAAAATGCATCAAGGGGCTTGTATGAAGGGTTAATAGGTGTCATATCCATTACCCTGAAAGGCCTGTAGAAGTTAGTTGCTGTCTTGCAAACTATTTTTTTCTGAGAATTGCGGGAGCCAATAAACCCTTACAGGATGACAGCGTTCTTTGTTTACACATTGGCTCTGCTATGGTAGTAAATAAGGACATCATCCGTCAGGCCCATAGGAAAGTGCACGTGGAAACAAAGCCTGACGTTGTTGTGTATTTGCTCTATTATGTGTCAAGTGTAGCTTTTCCTTTCAACCTGACCAATTCAATTTCTCGGTCTGTCTGATTTTAAAAACGCATTTGGGCCACAATTGCGTTGTATATTAATTATTAGGTGTTTGAATTAGACCCATTATTCGGCTTCCAACTAGCATACCAAGTACATGTATTTAGAACTTGAGTGATTATAACATGTTGTTGGAGTCCAAAAAGTAATAAATCTTTTTATAAAAGTGTGAAAAGTATATATATATATTTTCCTTTATGTTTTCCTTCCTTTGATGGAAGGAAGAAGGAAATTTAATGGGTCTCCACATTACCAAGTAACTTCTTAAAAACGACAACACCTACAGCTCCTATACCTTTTATTGTGCTTTGTGAAAATAAAGTGCATTTTCATTTGTTTAAGATAAATAATTTTGTCAGCATTTATTTAGTAGTACAAATAATTGCATTCCTAATTTCTGGAAGAAATGGTCACAGAGTGATGTACTTGTAATCAAAATGTTGATATAAAAAGTGCAATAGTGTGGCTGCGAAATCACCATACTTAAAGTGTGAATTACTAACAAAGTAAGTACTCAAAAGTTTTTCTGATTTTATGAGATTATATTTTATATTTGTGTCAATATAGGATGTATACCTTTGAATTAAATTGCCAATAAATATGATCGTATCGACGGTAATTATGTGTGACTGTCTTGAGGCATTTATAAACTAAATGCTTACCTTTTTAAAGTAATGCTTTGTTTAAAGTGGCCATTGTTTTCAGGGGAGGGGAAGTTTGCAGGATTTGGGGTTCGATTCCTACTACAGAGCTGCTCCTTACTTTCCTGAATAGTTTTTCCCACAAGCAACCATCGGCAACCATTGCACAAGTGCAGGGGAAGTGCTTAAAAGAGGAGTTGAATGGAGATCCATGTAATAAGAAATCACATTATATGCAAATGATTTCTTTACGGGCATGCGCACTGTTTTTGAGAACAACTCGCTGCTTTGAAGTCTATTGTTCAAGTGCGCGCGCCTTCACGCTGTGTGCTACCAACAACAAACCTTCAGATTTTACCTTTACTGCTGTTCTGCGAACATCGTGCGGCGATTACCTCTGTAAATTTTGCGATTTCATCGATTTTAATTAATAGACGTTCTGTAACAAAGATCTCGATCAATATGGATAATACACCATCGGTAAGTTTGGTCGATAAAAACCCAGTGGTTTTGTATATGCCAGTATTTGTATGAAAATTCACTAACACTTTCACTATTCAGCAAACATTACAGTCAACTGTTACCGCAAACTGACGTGATTCCTTCGCCGTAAACCTACAAAGAGATGAATAGATACAACGTTACGCCGTTGTTGAAAATTGGGATTGAAAGTGAATGCGCAGGAACGTTATGCCACACTGGAATGAAAAAAACAACAAATGATCGGTCATCAGATGATGCATGTTCTTGTCTGAACAGTGATTTCCCAGGAGATTGGATTTATGCGAAAGCGTAGCGCAGCGGCCGCGGCAGCGTGACGTCAACAATGGCAATGTGACTGTGTTGTGATGTATACTGCAGCCCAAATAATGTTCGATTCACAATCAGGCGAGACTTGTCTGGAGTACGTAGGCCTTCACATTTTTTATTCGTAAATTGATCCATTTGATAGACAGATGTATTAATGATGCTTTGATCCTTACAAAAATCTTTAGTTTAATAAAATCTGAGATTTCTGATTCCTAATCCAGAGACACCCTAGCCACGATTAAAAATTACATGTATATTTTTATATCACCATTGAAACCTGCAGACATTTAGTTACTGCCAGCGGCTGACTTTCCAGGCATGGATCTGTAGGCACGTTCCACTTGCTCGGTCAAGGGTTTCTCACACCAGAGTGCAGGCAAGTTATCAAAACTTTCTGCCATTTCATCTAGATCATGTTCCTGTATAACAAATAAATTCAACCTAACTACGTTGTCCTCTTTTAATGAACAGTTAATAACGACGAAAAGTTGTAATTTTAGGGAAACATATGGTCTTATTAGAACTTGCATCCCTGAATAAACTCTTCGACTTCGACTTTCTTTTCCACTTTTAAATTATGCAAAATCTCACTTGCCAAAATTCTTGAGCTGAAACTTAAATCTGAATGTTGAACCATCGTGAATCCAGAAAGAACCGGATGCTTTTAAAATTATTTTACTCTTCAGTTCCTTGATTTCTTTTATAATCAGAATCTACTGTTTTTATTGAATATAGGTGCTATCAAGCACGAACTTCGTCCCACCTAGGCCTGAGTTCAACTGCTCGTCTCCCCAAAAGCTGTTAGAGACGTGGACCAAGCGGTTGAGATCTAACCAAAACCCTGAGAGGCCCCGTGAGAATGAAAAGCGCTCCAAAGACACCACAGCGGTGAGAAACCCCACTTACCCCCGTGGGCCCCTTTCTGTAACCTTAATTTAGACGCTCAATTCAGCAAATGTCTCACTGTGTTGATGATGATGAATGACGATCGGAACCCTGAAAATGTGTATTAACCTCTGCAGGTGTTCTCTGCCAAAGCCAAAGACCAACAAGCGAATACACATAACACTGGAGGCCTAGCAGCCATCACAGACGCCTCGCAATCGGACCACAGTGGTCGTGTAGTACATCCGAACACAGCAACTGACAAGGTTGGTATTCAATCAAGTTTAAGTTTGATTGTCAGGTTAACGGTGATTTAGAAGTTGTCAATAGTGCATACGTTCGTAACAAAGATATAAACACCACCTCATTGTCATGTCAAAACCATTTTTTTTTAAATAGCTGTTTCCAAAAACTTCAGACTGACTAGTTTGTAGGTCCTCTCTCGAGGGCAATTTTAACGATAGTTCCTTGTCTTTTGACTTCATGTTTCTGGTTATTATCGGAAGGTTGATGTGAGTGCTGGACACTCTAGATCAAGCTACCGTGTCCAGGACAAAAACAGCTCAGCAGAAAAGGAGGACCTGCCAGTTGGCTGCCTTTGCATACCAATCCTTCCGCTCCACAGATTGAGACGCAAGCGACGGGCAAAAGTGGCACCCTTCAACCTACCATCGCCATTCGTCAAAACCACATCGAAGTCAGCCACTAGTGGTGAGGACCGCCTGGTACAACCCCAGATGGCAGAGGTCTCTGTGTTTGGTGTGGAGGACAGAGACGACCAGGACAGTCCGTGCCTTGGCCTGCCATCTCACCGGATGATGAAAGAAGACCTGGATGAATGGTGTCAGAGGAGCAGAAGTGAGGCACACTTTGAGCGTGAAGGGGACGAAGTTAAGGGTATATCAAGAGAAAGCATCTCTCTTCCGCCCAGACCAAAGACATCAAGGGGGATTAGACAGGACAACGGCCGAAATGATCAACCCTTCAAGGGAAGTGAAAAGTCACGTGAAGAGATCAGCAGACTCGACGAATTGGAGCAGGACGAGGAAGCTGTGCTCATGGGTGGAGAGCCTGAGATCATGGTATCGCGAACAATTATGGAGAATGGGAATTCAGATATTAGTGACTCTGAAGAGGTCTTGTACTGCTGGAAAAATGTCGAAGCGAAGAACAGTGAAGATGGAAGAGGGATGAAAGGTGAAGAAGTCGTGGTCTGTGTACTTGGAGAAGGAGCCACAAGCAATAATACTCGGCGGGAATATTTGCCGACGCTGTCACCGGAAGATCTCCCTCCGAGACCAAAGACTGCGCGAGGGTTTAGACGAGAATGTGGACGCGGGGATCTACGCTCCGTGTCAGGAGGAGTAGGTGTAAGAACAGTGTCAGAGGTCATTAGGACATTGACCAGGGAGGAAGACAGAGAGGAGGAAGATGAATATGTGATTTCAGGAGCAGACTTGAAAAGCAAGAAGAGCAGCTCGTCTTTAAACTCTGGTGAGGCACTAAGTATTTGGAGAAATCCGGATGTGTTCTACAACGAAGATGAAGTTGAAGACCAGGCAGGCTTATCAAGTAAAGGTTATGAATACGACACAAGGCCAAAGATTGATAAAGCAATCCCGTCTGGACAGAAAGGAGTTTCGCCTTCGGCTAATGACAGAAATAAGGGAACCATTACTCCAAAATATTCAAAGGAGTCTGTGGATTCAGACGGTGTGATAATGACACCCGAAGACGAACTTGAGTATGATCGACAACAACGAGAGCAGTGGCAGCTAGCTGGTATCGGTGAATGGTCCGTTCTTTGCCAAGACTACGATGAAGACGATTATGAATCAGAGTGTTACCTGAGGATGGATGAATTACAGAAGGAGCAGGCTATTATGGAGGACTGGAGGGCTATCACTGAGCGTTACCAGTCCATAGGTGTCATCCAGGATCTGCAAAACATGCAAACACTCTGCAAGTGCACCATCAACCAGAGTGAGAGAGCTCTGCGGCAATTCGCCAGGATTTGCCGGGGTCCCGTGCCACTCTCAAAGTCGGGACAAACCAAAGCTGAAGCCATTGCTTCTCTCTCTAAAAAGGCTCAGAAGCAGACGAGGAGGATCTCAGAAAGGATATCCGACACCTTCATGGAGTTCTACCAAATCTTTGAGGAGCTTGACATCTTGAGGGAGAGACAAGATCGGGTGGAGGAATCCCTACAAGGCGATCTGGAAAAGAGGGACGCGTCATCAGCAGACTTGTCTTGGTCAAGTTCCCAGAGTTCAGTTGTCACACCGAGGCTAATTTCTAGTCGGATACAACAGAGGGAACTTGACATGGACCTGGTGGACAAATACATGGAAGACTACAGGGTGAAGTCCACCAGCCTCTTTAACGTCATGCCGACCATTTACGAGGACGAAATCTTTGAGGTGGAAGAGTGTCGGGAAGAGGAGTCAGAGGGTGATTTTCCCGAGTACAGCGGGATGGATAACGTCTGCTTTGATGGAGATGACGTCAGAGTAAATGATACAGCGAAGAATAATAGGGAAGATTCCAGCATGATGAACAGAGTAGCAGATGAACAAAATAATGAGGATGTTGTTGAGAAGCAAGAAGAAGGAGAAGGTGGTGTTGTAGGCCTAAATGAAGAGATGAGGAAGATGAGATAAACATGATTTCCTCTTAGGAGTCTTGACAAGAAGCGGACAAGTTTGCTGGTTGATAATAAATGAAATTATTGTTCGAGTAAGACAGTAATTGCTAATTTATATTCATTAAAGTTTCTTGACATGCCCATTTTGATTGTTTCGTGTTCGCCGGTGACCTGCTCCTTGATAGGTTTGATGGTAGCCAATGATGGTAGCCAATTCGCAAATGAACGAACAAAAGAACAGAAAACAAAAGCCAAACACCCCAAATTAATAAACAAAGCAATTCCAGCTCAAATGATTATTTGAATTATTGATACGTTTGAACGATAAGAACCTTGATCGCTGTTGGAGTGGACCCCATTCTTTTTGCAGATGCAAATTGAAAACAGAAATCATATTTCTAGCCAAGATTAGGGTGATTCGTACTTATGGGGACTGGAAATTATAACGCCATCAAATTCATCGGTTGTGTGTATGCGTGTATATCAGGGAAACATGAAAATATCCATGTGCCCATGCGTCAGCTCACTCGGTTAAATGAAAACTAAAATTATTTGAATGGATCTCATTTTCTTGCACTAACTTTTGATAATTTGGCCAAAATACATTTTTTACCATAAACAGAGATTGGCATGTTTATTCTTGCTCGGATTTATTGACGTTCTGGGGAATTTGAAAGCAATTTGAACAAGTTGAGAATATTAAGCCAAATGGTTTTGGCATTTCACACAAAATAGAAACAATCTGGCATGTTTATGATTGACACATTTTTACACTTCATACTTTAAAACGAATCAGTATTTTCCTAAGTTAGTAATCATCACTGATCAACAGTACCTGGAAAAAGGCCTACAGGAAATTCCAACGATTCATTTAAAACAGGAACAGCCCACGTTATTGTGTTTTTGTCGATAGATATTTTTCAAAAGCAAAAACTTACACATTCATATCCATGGTACTCACAAAAAACGGTTGAGCCTGATATAATTTTACCCAAAGAGGGATTGCCGTGACGTTGAAATTATGGAAAAATTCTTCATTGAAAGAAATTGCTTAAAGGAAGTAGTATTTCAAAAGCATAATATTCATACCTTTTAATAAACATTTTAGCTGACTGAATATAGACAATCTGCAGAAATTTCCAAAATATTATCAAAATATTTTGACTAAAACCCGTATACTCTCGGTTGTGAAGCCACTCGTCTTTGCTTTACCGCTTTTTTGCATTATGAACTTTAAAAGAAGAAATACGTTTTAATTATGACACCCCCCGGGAAATTTAGTTTTGTTTTGTGATTTCTTTTAATATTTAATTGAGGAAGAAACTTCAAAGATGTTGAGTCTTTTACCTTTTGCATTTTGTAAACGCTTTTTAACATTGTGTACAACCAGGAATAAAGAAGCAAAGTTATATTTTATACATTGAATTTAATTATGTTATTATTTATCACTTCTTTTATTACCATTGGTAAAACGTAAATTGTCTGTCGAAGACACAAACTACAGAACACAAAATTAATGTAAAACTCATTTGAATTTTGTCTTAATACACAGTTTACACTGGTATTAGTGCACTTACTTTAATTTGTTTTTGTTATTATTTTCCCCATTTTTAAAAAACTTTTTTTGTCTCAGACGGGGGGGGTCACTCGCTGCCACGCAAATTTTGTATATTAGGCTATGGACTGCTCTTCCACACCACATATCCACACACAACAGATGGTGTGGCGACAGCTGTTGGCCCCTCTCCCCCAGCTCAATTTTCGGGAGGTGGGGTTGGATGAGGGGTCTGGAATTCCCAGGGATAAGGGGGCAACTCCCCTCCTGCCTTAGTATGGGTTTGTAGCTCTATGGTATGCCACAGCATTTTCCACTGTCAGACACACACTGCGCTACTTGGAGTTTTCACGCCGCGATGGCGATTGTACCTTGACTGTAAAATGCTCAGGTTTGAGCAATTTAAAGTCAGTCTCTGAAATTTCCGTTCACTCAACGTAGGCCTAATATTAGAAGGCAAAATCTGGTTAACTCGGGGGTGGGCGTCCAGGAGATCGGATGCGTTCCCTTCTGAAGCCGAGGATTAACAGGGCCGAATTCTCGGTGTTCTGGAGACAATCAGAGATGATCCCTGACACTATTTGCTTGCTTACGTTCGCAGATAGCGCCCCGGTACAGTGCAGTGTACACGTACACGTTCACGTACATGTACATGTAATGTGCCGAGCTCTAGTCATATAAAGTGCTTGGATGCCGTGTCGACACGATCCGGCCGTGCCGCCCAATGATCTTAGCGCCCTCCTTTGATGGATGTGGCTACCCAATGAGAAAATTTACGAAGTGTGTAATTGGTCCATCAAAGAACAAATTTCCCAAGGTGTTGCTGATAACGTTTTCAATAAAGAATATTAACTGCAATAAATTTACTTGTATTACAATGCAATATTAGTCTTAAGTATTGAATGGGATGGATTAAGTTTATTTCGTATGACTATTAAACGACAGACTTAAATGTTATAAATCACCTGTAATAAGTAACCAATGGGAGCGTTCGTTGCAAAACATGAGCTTTGCTGGGGCTGTTGGCGCCATTGTGTTTCGAAAAGCAAAATTTGGGAGCTTTACGGGCAAAACATCCAGGAATACCAACCTGTCGTTGGCGAACCTTTTGGTTGAGCATTGTTAGGATCCAACATCCAAGACTGTCGGCATAAATTAAAGGTAAGTAATTCTTTGGAGTTGTCAGAAGAAGTGTTGTTTGTGTTTAACATTGCTGTGAAGGTCATTGGTTTAGTGCCGCGCCATTCGCGAAGCGAACCATATAAATGATATCGCTGCACAGTACAACGGACATGACGGATTGAACCGACGTGACCGATTGCCTTACTTGCCTTGCCCGCCTTTCGTATTATTAATCGTACTCGTTAGTCGTAGGCCTACTCGATACTCATTCATAGTTAGTAGGCCCCTGTAATGCTTTGGTTGTTTTCTCGAAGGGTGCTAGGCCCATTTCTCGATGGAGAGACTCTTACGAGGAAAGATTAGCCTAGGCCTACCAAATGGACATGATCAGATGATGGGGGCTACTGGCGGATGCCTTGGCCTACCCCCCAAATTTTGGCTTTTTTCTGCAATATCTGCAGCAATTTTAATTTTAAGAATAAAAAGTAATGGAGTTGGGCCTATGGCTAGGCCTACTGGGTGTTTGGGTGGGGTGTATATATAGTTCAATAATCCACATGGTCCAACCAATGTAAAAATGTAGTTTAATATTGGGGCACTTATGTGTAAAACAAGCCATGCTTATTGTTTTGGAATCCACTTTTTTTTTCTCAAAAAGGACATGGATGCTGAACGGGAAAAACTAGTCCGAAAATCAAATTACATTTAACAGGCATTGTTAACAATAAAAAGGAATGCCAGATTGCGTCATTCAACTGGCCAGCAGGGCCAGCTGGCCTAGGTTTTAGCTGGCCCACAGACAGTTCAACTTACTGGTCCTGAATGATTAACAGTAGTTTAATTTAGTGGTACATGTAGTTTATTTTAACCTTTTGATCCCAGCGACTAAGAGAGTTTTAAAGCACATGTACATGTACCACTCGTACATGGACATGTATTTGTACTCACAATTGTTCATATATAACCCAGAATCACTCAAAAATCTTCTTATGACAAAACTTTCCTGTTATACATGTATGTAGGTTTTCTGACAAAGTATTTCTCAATTTAAACAAAATCATTTCTATGAAAGAATTCTAGGGATTTTTAAACAGAGGACAACTTTTGTTTAAATTTTGACGCATCTTTTTCAACTGTGCTAGCGTGAGTTCACCAACCATATCCCCCACTACAAAGTTAACCAATCCATTACATCACGTAAAAACCAATTATGCTCGTGTAGTTGAGTCTACTGCATGCATGCATTCACGATCCAAAATTAAGAAAAAATTGCAGACAAAACGGACGAAGTGTCAGTTCCGGAGGCATATTTTGGACACAGCCGAAGCCAATCTATACAATTGCTGGCTGGATTCCTGGTGCACATTTCGCCGGGCTGGGCTGACTACCCCTGGGCTGCTGCAGCGCAGCAGCGTTTTAAGATGATCGTCCACTGCAGAATGAAATACAAGGATATTTATGTATTGCAAATGGAAGCCAACCATATGCATGCCTCACACAGTACATGTACATACTGTACAGCGCGGTGCTCTGGGTCTGCCAGCTGGGCTGGTCTGGCTGTGAAGACAATCGTGTGCTGGAAGGTCGCACCTTGAAAAACAAGTGAATTTGAGGTTGAAAAGTAAGTTGATGATGCAATACATTGTAAGCATTTGACAACTGGGCTCCATCCTTTATAAACAATCAACATTGTGGTTTGGAGAGGGATTGGATCTGTTTATTGCAACTGTTCAGCTGGCCAACTGGGCCATTTAGGGATGCTTCTCAGCTGGCCCAAGGCGATTTCAACTGTAATTTGGCCAATGGACCATCGCTCAATCAAACACTGTTAATGTACACGTACCTGTCGATAGAATCGTCTCAATACTGCATGTAGCTTGATAAAAAATAACGTGTGACCAGACGACAGAAATTTACATATAGTGCATTTTGTTTTGGAAAATGCTGGAATATTAACTACAGTCCTTTGCAATTTCTGATTGTTTTTTTACGCATCAAAAAGAACTTTTAAAGTCCAAATTCTGGTTTCTTCCAGCAATCAACAGTTTACTATTTCAGTATTTGTTTCTTGACCATAGTTGGTTTCCTCGTGAGGAAACATATCAAACCTCCAGTAGTGTCAGTAAAATGCAGTGTTTACGTACTTATCATTTTGCCGTCAAACTGAATTGTTATTTGCCAAAACATTCAGCATGATTAGCCCATGTGTTAGACAGTTCCGTATCACTGATGCCCACATTCAGTATGCTGAGCAGCATTGCACTGCAGTATGCAATGCATCTGCAGACATGTTGCACAAGGCATGCTGAGCTCCGCGAAGTGTGACTTCACAAGCTCTCCTCCCTGGTTCTTGCAGAAAAATGCAAATTTCTTGTTTTCTGTTTTTTTGTGTGTCTTGTACTCTTGTCTTTCTTGTTTTCACTTGGGATGCTTTACTGTGATAAACAGTCCCCATGTGATAAACATAACAGGAAACATGCCTGCATGAGGTAGTGTGGAACTCACTGTCAAAAGTGATCTGTAACTGTCAAGTGCAATCCTGTCCAACAGCAGGGCTATAGATGCGTATGATTATTTCCCTCTTAACTACTAGTACATCAATTGTCATTTTGAAGCAGGGAAAGTACTTCAAATCTAGAAAGGGTACTTACAAACTAACCTTTTAAAGATTTAGTTCCAGTAAATGGTGCACATTCTGAGAATTTAATATTCTAGGATCTTGATTTCAGTAAACAAATTGCTGAGTCTTATGTTGAATTACACCAGAAATCAGCATCTGGGACACATTCTCAATCAGCCAAATTGCAGCAACACCTATGAATAATAGCTACTGTGCTTTCCTGTGCACCTTGTTAAGACTTGCATGCACCTATTCACAGCTTTGCTGAATTGAAAACCAATTCCTAATGCAGGCATGCCATTTTCCCTCTTATCACCTGGCTTCCTTTTTTTTCACTTCACACTCACGCCATTGAAAATTGAAAACTGTACAAAGTCTTGTAAAGATCAGAATTTCCTTGGTTATTGTCAAAGTCAAAGTTGCATACCTGCTACTGGAAATTTCAAACTGTCTTTGATGCATCTTTGAAAGTTACATTGTACCTTCTTTTATTGTTTTCTTCAACATAAAAGCACACCAGAAAGACAAATTTCACGGGGAGTTAGTTCCAATACTGTGTTTAATTAAACCAAATAAGGTTTTCAACAGGTACCTGTATAGCCTGTTATATGTACATGTACTTTGCAGATAGCAGAAAATGATGGAATATGCATGTACCCTTTAAGTTGAGTCTGGTAAAATATATGTTTTTAGTGTCAAAAGAAAGGGGAGGAATTTTGCCAGGAAATCATGCCACTCAAGTCTCTGGAGTTGTTGAACATGGGCAGATGTACATGGCTTGTATGAAAGTGATGCGGAAATGGCAATGAACTCGCATTCAAGAAAAATATGTCGTGACGTGACCATAATGATGTTATACATGTATCATTTAAATCAGGCTAAATTCTTCTTCATTCTTTGTCACTTGGCATACTTGTAAGTTGCTCTCTATCCCTTTGCAGCCCGGAGAAATAAAATTGTATGTCAGTGTTGCAACGTACATGTAGCGGTTTGAATCTAGACTTGTTCTTAGTATGTTCAATGAAATTGCATACAGGCCGTGATGCACTGTGATCATGTATACTATGCACAGGAAAAGTAAGTTGAAACCTTGTGTGCACCTTTGCATGTATGTGAGTCTAGCTAGGGTCAGTATACATGTAGGAATGCATGAGCAGCTTCATACTTTATTGAGCCCTGTGCTTTGTAATACATGTACGTGTACATGTACATGTGTACATACATGTATGTTACATGTAGCTAGTACAGTACATGTACGTGTGCAGTGTGGCGCACAACATCGGGGTTTATTGAACTGTACAATACAAGGCTTGATGTTGGAAATTGTTACCACATGTAGTAACTTTTGAACATGTAAATTCGCATTTGCAGTTTTTATGCCAAATAGCTGTTGGATTACTGTAGATGTAGATTAAAAAGCAATCAATGCAATTGTGAGAAATACATAAGATCAAATGGTGCAGTGCTAGCTGCATGGGAATGCATAATAGGTTGATGCCAAAATTTGGTATTGTCAGCCAAACCTGCTGTATTGTTTGCTGCCAAACTGAATGTAAGCACTTAGCAGCACAGTGGAGTTCAAGATTATGCCCCAACTGTAAACGGTCAGAAACAGAAATAAACTTGAAATTGCCCTATAATTCTTTGCGCATTGTCAACGTTCACGTTTTGCTGTTACAATGGTGAAAACACGTGCGTGAAGCTCTACAGTATGCGTTAAGCAAAGCTGCTCTGGCTCCTGATGCGCTGCACCCATGCAAAAGAAGGAAAACTTCACTCTTTATTGAACACTTCTGAGGGTCCAAGCTTACTAGGTTTCGTTTAATTTAAGAAATATGAAATTAGTCTTCCGTTTTGCTGCTGCGGTTTCATTGTTTCGCCATGCGGTACTAGCCTTGTCTCAAGGCGTCCATGCGGATTCACAGACTTAATTCCCCACGTGTGCAATAGTCATATGTGTGAGTAAGAACATGTTTGCTTCTTTGATTTCATTGCTGGTATGGTGCACGTGTGAATAGCCAATGTTTATATGCACAATGTACTGTACCGCACCACTGCTGTGCCAGCTGCCGCTGCACTAATGGGGCTCACACACGCCATAGCGCTTACAAGTATCGGCAACGGCGCGACGCGGCGTGGATGACCCAATCATGTGTTGGAGTGGTGCAATTTAGCATGTTTCCAGCGTAATTCGTTCATTAAAAGCAAGCATTTGAAAAGGGTTTGGAAGGCATCTATTTTTTAGTACTTTTCTGAAAGTTTTCTTCACTTTTAAGCCATTCTCAGAGGGAAATTTTGCAAGTTCCAATTTAAGCAGTGGATTCCGTTTCAAAGTGTTGATTCGCAAATTCCGTCCGTTTTCCGCGATTGTGGAAAATCATTGGCTTTACAGTTGGACATTATGTTAAGTTTTGACTACTACATGTAAACATGTCAAAATGGTAGTTGAAAGCGCTGAAAATGTAAAATTAATTTATTGGAAAATTAAGTTCAACTGATACTGGCTGGAGTAAAAGAAAAAGCAGTGGATGTTTCGTTTTGGAATAGCATTATACATGTACACGTACGCACATCGTGTGCTACTAGATAGCAATCCTTTTAGTACTGTTAAGCCATCGCTAACCACACAAGAAAACCAACACAAGTGTTCACCCTTATGCAAGCAAAATAAAGGCCAGAGTCTTTCCAAGGTACAATTTACATGTAGCTCATCAGGAAAAGGGGCCAGGATACTCTGGTTGTTTTTTTTTTTTGAAGTGTTCCTTATGTGCAGCTGTTGTTCAGTAGTCAGATCCCATGCACACATTGTACCTGTATTTCCCAGAACTTTTATGCTTACTTTACCCACTTCATAATTTTCTGGCCCTGGACTGAGAACCCACTGGCATCCTGATGTGCTTGTTTATGCTTGAAAGCATGGTAACCATGAGTATGCCTTCAGTGGTTCCCTTGTGCACACTGTGTACCTTGATGGATGCCACATGTGTTTCACCTTGGAGATCCTGAACCAGCCTTAATCTCAATGATGGGTCCATAATCCTGGGGCATTGTAATATGAAGCAGCCAAAGTATACATGTACATGTAGCGCTTTGCTGGAGCTTCATGACTTGTTTGTGAAGGGTATTTTCCATGTACCTGTATGTGTATGTAATGTAATGGGGACTGGTGTATTCACCGAACAGATTCATAAAATGAATAAAAACGACAAGGTGTCAGATTCAGGCAGATCTTTGAGAGCGAGGCAAGTTTTCACGGCTGATTCAGGATGGCAAGACTTTTTTTTTTTAATTTTCAGGTGGATGACCCAGCATGTCAAAGGGCAAAGGGCACCAGCGTGGCCTGCCCCAGATTATATATCCCCAGGGGCTGAAGGAAATCGCCACTGACCTGCCAAAAGATGAACTCCTTAGAAGACTCAAGGTAGGCATTGCTATCCACTGAAATTGTCAGTTTGTACTCCGTGTAACCAAACTGGCCTTATTGTGTCCTGGAAGCACAGACAGCATGTATGTGCACATACACTGTACTTCATTTTTACCAGTAGCCCTGATCTGTTTAGATTAACTTAAAGAATTAAAGTTTAAAGTCCACCTGTACCTACCATATTATAATAAGCGGAAACACAGAATGTTGGATTTCAGGGCTGACTCACAGTTTCATATGTCTACATGATACTACATGTACATGTATCAGACGAACATCTCATCCAGCACTGTGGACAAGTCATATGGCTGTTCTTTTTTTCAAGGAGACATGCAATTCATAATGGCTCTCAGTGACATGCACATTGTACACCATGTACATGTACATTATGTACTTCAGCATTGAGGGCAGTGCATGCTGATAACAGAGTCTTTTTTCATTTGTTGATGTGTTGTTTTACGTGTCCTATGTGTAGGTTCATAGGATCATTTGCTTTTGAGACCTCTTGATATGATTTGTATGGGTAAAATGAGAAGTTGCCTAACTTGCCTTTACCTTTTCTTTTTCGATATTGTGATAATTGGATCCTTTTGAAAACAAGGTTCACATCGGGGGTTAGATGTGAGTCACTTTTAAACTTGGATGTCCAAATTGGCCTTGAAAAGCCAAGAAAAAGTGGAAGTTTATGGCTCCAAGATAACCACTTTGGCTGAAATCTTTAATATTTTGAATGATTCTTTTTGTGCTTGCATTTGGAAGGGACACAAAGCCTTTTTAAGGGCTTGGAACGTCGCAAGATTCTGAAAATATGGTTCTCGGAGAAGAAAACAGCTGTTTGAAACTTCAATGACACAGTACATGCAGTGTACATCAGCTTTGGCAAGACGTTCTGATCATGTGCACTTGAGCTATGCTTACCTTTCCCTAGGACATCATCTGCATGATATACAGTTGGGGCAAAAAGTTTACATACATGTACACTTAGAAGAACAAAAACACTTTTCCTTAAATTTCACTACTTCACTCATTCCTACCAACTTCTCTTTTCATAAGGACAGACAAGATGGGTCTCCACTACATGGTGTATGCTTCAAATAAATCATAATACGATAGAAATATATTTACCCAAAAAATCAAAATTTTACATGCTCCAACCCTAATCTTTAGTGCCACTGTCAGTATTTTTATCACCTCTCATAGTCGCAGTGGACCACTTCCTGAAGTGTTTTGAACAACAGTAAGGGGGTAGATGAAATTATGCACAAAATCATTTTTCGGAATTATTAGTATTTTGAACCGTGATAAATGTCGGAGTATTTTCAATTGAAGTACACACTATGATTATTAGGTTGAGGTACAGTTTGTCTGACCGTGTGAAGAAAAAGTTGGCAAAACTATTTCAAGTTGAGGAAAACTGTTTTTTTACCAAGCTTACATATATGTAAACTTTTGGCCTTAACTGTAGGTACTGGTACTTCCATAAAACACACTGATGAAATGGGATTTCGCTATTGTTCCCTGAGAGAAAGAGACCTTTTTTTTTTCAGTTTTTTTTTGGTCTGACGAGCTAAACAGTACCCGTTAAGTCCAGTCAATTTGGTATTCTCTCTTAGGTGCTGGCCCGTTCCTTCCAAGACATGGAGCAAGAGGAGGAAGTGACGCAGTACCAAGCTTTAGCTCTCTACCTGGTCAACGGTGGCTTCCTCAAACATCCCAGCAAAGATGTCAGGTTGCTGGTGGCGTGTTGTATCGCCGACATCTTCCGTGTCTTTGCGCCAGAGGCCCCCTATCGCACGGCTGAACAATTACGCGTAGGCCTTACTTTACTGCAACATTCTACCATCTGATGTCGGTGTAGAAACTGCATTGCACTATACCACAACCATCAGCGTATTCATGCACAGATTCTGAAATGAATTTGTTTTTGTTTTAAATTTTGCTTTTTTTATCATGGTTTTTTTTTCCACAGACAATCTTCCAATTCCTGAACAAACAACTGTGGGGACTAGAGAATGTGGATGGACCATCCTGGAAGCGTTATTTCTACCTGCTGGAAAATCTGGCCATGGTCAAATCTTACAACATCTGCATGGAACTGGAAGATTGCAACGAGCTGTTCGTTGAGCTCTTCAATATCTTTTTCAGCATCATCAGGTTGGTCAGGCTATTTTTATCAGGCTCCAACATTCCATGAAATTTGTATGTAGATCTTGAGAAACATGTGCAATATATCTGGTTGCTGTTCTGACATTGTATTGCCACAGTTGTAGGAAATGTTGTGATCTAACTTTCATATGATTCCATTTTATTTACATTTTTTGCTCATACACCTGTCCCGACATAGTTACAAGGGCAACTCTGCTATTTAGGGGACGAATTTGACAGTTCTATTGTTGGCGAAATCGTTCAGCTTTACCAGTGTGAACAATTACATTGCAAGGCTCTTTCAGGCAGTGTTGTGGTGGAGACCTCTTTAACCCATTGCGGACGGTATTGTTTTATGCCCAGTGTGTAGAGCCTGACCAGTATACACACACAGAAAGAGACTGCAGTTGCATGATGAATAGACTGAGTATGTGTGGTATACGGCTATAGCCGTTCCCTGGCACTAACCTTCCCCTTGAGTTAAGTCAATAGACATCTACCGTCTTCAAGGGGTTAAGACCATCTCAAGACCTCCAATCTGAATTCCAGTCACAACTTATTCAAATGAACCTTAATGAAAGTATTCCGGTGTCATTATTCAAACTCAGAGCACACTGGAGAGAGGATTAGAGAGTGCATTTAACCATGAGCCAACCTTCCCAATAAGCCATTTGCGAGTTGAATTGAATAAAATCTGGTGCACTGAGTAATCTGATTGCACATAAACATAACAATTTGAATTCCCCAGACTAAAGACACTGTTGCTCTACTTCGTGATTCGGGGAAAGCTTTGTGCCCTTCTTATCCATTGAGAACAGTGTATTGTTGCAAGACGTCTCTTATGTAACTAAGCAAAAGCTTGCCCCGAATCACGAGGTAAAGCAACAGTGGTTCTAGTAAGGAGAATTCAAGTTGTTATGTTCACGTGAATTTAAAGAACTCAGTGTACAAGATTTGGGTCAAAGTTAACTTTCAAAAGGCTTATTGTGTTGTGACAGTGCCAGCTCACATTATTGTGGATTATGGTACAAGTAACTGGTTTCTTGGTTCCGCTAGTCTGCCTCTTGACTTTCATAACCATGCAGAAACTGTCAGAAAGCCTACTGTTTTGATCAGTGATCCTTTGATAATGAGCTCATAGATCCTCAGACAACCCAGGCAGAACTTAACTACCAGAAACTGGAGGCGACCTGCAGTTTTGGATAGAAACATGCTTCCTTAATGGAGTACGGGAGGATTGGTTAAGGATTTATGTTGATTTTAATGCAATCGTGTCTGATTTCCCTAAGTGAGCACCACACTCCCAAGGTGCGTACTTTCATGCTGGACGTCATGTGCCCTCTGATTAGCGAGAATGATGCCGTGCCGCCAGACCTTCTGGAGATCATTCTGTCCAACCTCTTGGAATCGAAGAAGGCGGAGAACCCTCATGCTTTCCAGATGGCCAAGGAGCTCATCAAACGGACAACCACCAGCATTGAGCCATCCATCCAGGCAGTAAGTGCTTCAAGGCTCAGGGTTGTAGAAGACTCTCCAGTTCAAAACATTTTTGTGGGGGTGTTAGTGGCGTCTGAAACTCCCTGCTTGTATTGAGGCTGAACCACAGAGTTTTTGTACAAATCTTCACCCCACAAGTACATGTAATTACTTATTGTAACCTTGGCCTACTACTTTGTATATGGCAATGACTCCGACTGTTCAATTTAACTATGCCCCTGTGTGGATTGATACTCCAGTTATTGTCAGTAAACAGCACGTTGAAAGTCGTTGCTCTGAATAGAAGCGCACACTGAAACGTTTTCAGGGCTGCAGGAAGTGCATAGCATTCTTCAGTTCATCAAACCAGTACAATGACCCTATTGAGAAGTCCCCCCTCACCTGGAAAGAAGGGAAGTGTTGGGCTGGAACTGGTTCAACTGGATGCCTGGTGCTCATGTAAAGACTACATTCCAACAATAATCGGTCACAGTGTGGCTCATGCCAAGCGCGCGTCAACCTGCGTGCCCATGGTCTGTTCCCAAGGAAGGGATGTCGTAATGTCATTGCTCTTGTTTATACTTAGAGTGCGTTGTCCTCATTTGGTGTCAGCAGACCCATTCACACCAAGATATAATTCTTCCCCCAGTTCTTCAACAATGTTCTGATCCTGGGCAAAACATCAGAGACAGAGCTAGCCGGCCACTGTTACTCCCTTATCTACCAACTCAACACGATCTCCAGCACCCTGCTGCTCTCTGTCCTACCCCAGCTGGAGTTCAAACTCAAGGTAAGCTCATAATGCATCCGACGCTCATGAAGATGGTTTTCCTGGAAAACAAAAAAGTAAGATTAGTCTTGAGGTGCTTTTATTGTGAGAGAATCAATTTTAGATTTACATGTGTTGTACATTATAACTGTTAGCCTGAGCTCATTCAAATCCTTCAGCGTCTAACACTTGGTTCTCCG